TACTCTTGCATTTTGCAAAGCATTGTCTGTAAATGTCATCAGTTATTAATACGGTGCTTACTTTAATATATATATAAAAGCAAAGTAGCAAACAAACACACAATCTCTGAATTCTATTGATAGTTGTCTATGAATCTGACAACTGATTGGGCAGTAACATGAATGTTTTGGTGGCCATCTTGAAAAGGAATCAAACATCGAATCTTTTCCAAACATCTTCTCTGTTGATTAAATACTCATTCCATCCAAACTTGAACACTTTTTTTCTTCATTTCTGTCAGTTTTCAATCATAATGATTAGACTATTAATAAAGTCATGCATTTTGATGTATATTGTATAGACCGTATAGTCATTTGATCCCTTTTTTTAATATGATCCACCACATATTTTGGATCGATATCTTTGTCACTGGTAGTTCAAGACATAGTCCATCTATGATCAAAATAATTTTGGTAAACAAAGGTTATAAGATAGTTTTATTCTTAGATGAACACGTTTTTTTTTTGTCTGGAAAATATTGCGTATATATCTGATAACTAACCAAAGCAAGGGATTTGTATATGTATACAGTAGTTTATGATCTGTAGTTTCGGTTGCATCATAAATGATCCTTCAGTGCATTGTTAGTTTGAAAATATTTTTTTTTGGTTTGGGGGGGGGGGGGGGAAACTTTGTTTCAGTTCTATGCTTCTACGAAAAACGAACCATGTACTCATTTGAATTTTAATGTGTGTCTTTGTTGAGATAAGGTTTAGGACTACACCCAACAAAACAAAATTGAAATCAAAGGAGGGGCCATCTTGGAGCGCAACATGCTTGGACGATGTGAGGACGGTGTGCGCATGCTATTGTTTGTGCGTTGTGAGGTCACAAAACTGTAGTTTTAGCTACTTTTGACACCAGGGGCGGTGAGGAAAGGATCATAAAACCTCCTAATTATAAGAATTATTTAGAGCAGAACTGGTTACTTTCGAGTTGAAAAATAAATAAGGTGTATATATTATGAATCTTGCTATTAGTCAGAACAAATCACTGTGGCTATTAAGTTTCCGACAGGTTTAGGGACCGAGAATACCAACAGAGTCTACCATCTTTTATCTCCAAGATGGAGGTTCACATGTAATAGCCAGAGTTCCGAATATTTCTCGGCTAAGGATTTTGGCGCTGATGAAATATATTTGATTGCAGTTTGCTTCTCAAACTCCTGATCTCTGGCACCAAATAGCCTGACCGAGACACATCCGCAGTTCTGACTGAGTGCAAACTGCATACATTGTATGTGTATTGAAGGCATGGATGCTTTCGATATATTTCTGTCCCATTGGGTTTAACATAAATGAATACATTTTAGCAAACGTACAATAACTAAAAGGAATTTTCCACGTACCCATATTATATCGGCCAGAAAATTCATAAACACCAGCTTAGTTTTTTTCAGTGATACAACGATAACATTGTCACTGTAAATATAGACAATTAAATTTAGTTTTTTGGTTTGTATTTTCTATTTTGGCAGTGCAGATTTGCTGAAAACAATACAGAAATTTGGATGAGGCCATGAAACCATGAATCTCCCTTCAATCCTTCTAATGATCTAATTAGTACATTTTCCATAAAGACGAATAACACATATGCTTGTCCTTCAGGGAAGCGTATTGATTCCACTTCCGTGAAAGCGCAATTCAAATAATTTTGTTTAACACCAACAACCCAGGTGGAGTATAAAATGGTCTTGGGTGGATGTAGCCGTATCTGTGCTGTATCATAATAATAATAATAATAATATACAACATTTATATAGCGCCCTATATAATTTGTAAAATTACTCTAAAACACTTTACAACATATGAATAATAGTAATGGTTATAATTGTGAAAACAAAAAACAAAGGCTTACAATCACTTTCATACATTTAAGCAAGCAATGTACACATAATTGAACAAATAAAAGGGTGGTATTTTCATGACGTCTTTGCAAGGATTCTAAAACGCAGACGTGATGAGGTGAGTTTTTATGTCCCTCTTGAACTTGGCCAGGGTATTTGACTTTCTAATAGCAAATGGTAAGCTATTCCACAACGTAGCCGAAACCCTCCCAAGGCATCTGTTTCCGTAGGTCAAAGTTCGAGATTTTGGGACACACAACAAAGATTCTGACTCTGACCGCATCCAATTGAGGTGGCACTATAAACAGAACACATTACATCTTCAACTCACACGCGGGCAAACTCACATAGGGAGATGTTAGCCAGCTGGTGGCATAGGGCTAGCAGTTAGCGCCTGGTAAGGCAGCTCCAGCGAATTCCTCATAATTGTATTGATTATTTTATATGCTAATTGTATTGATTGGTTAAAAATTGCATATCTATGTACTGTAATGCGCTTTAGAGTGGCTTATTCTAGCTATAGAGGGCGCTATATCAAATGTTCTATATCATTATGATTAAGGTCATCAATACATCAGAAAATAGTTGTCACGAAGAAGAGTTCCATTTAGAATTTTATTTGAGTAATTTCCCCTTTCAAGTAATATACTTTTCAATGTTCATGTTATCCATAATATGGCACTCTTTTCGATGCTACGCATTTTAAATTCCTGAATAAAAACAACGGCAAAGCTTTGGATTTGCATTGCTAAAATCCTTTCAATACTAACTGGAATTTCGAACAACTATAATACTGTAAAATGCAAAGTAACATGTGATTTTTATTAAATACCACTTTTAAAAATATTTCACATAGTAACATTGGTAATAATATAAGATAAATATTGTTGGTACCTTCTACTTAAATCATGACTTACCGTCATTGTATTGTCGCATAGTGTTCACTTTCTGATTTTGTTGGGGTTTTTCGTGTACATGTTAATAAACACTCATCACAATAAAAAGTCATATCACAAATTACTATCTAATGTGATCTTTCACACGTATTGTTTTGATCAAAATAATGCCATGGAATTTTCCACATCGCTCTATCAATAATAATTAAAACTATCAAATACCAGGTTTCATCGGCTTCATTTCTCGCAAAACAGGCGTTTACTAACCGATTCGGATACGTGTCCCGTGTTGGATGGTTCCTATTCAACACGAATGCACTGTCTCCTAAACGTTTCAAATGTAAACAAAACGGAATTCCTAAGCCTATGCAAAACCAACGATTCGCTTATTGAATTAACAATTCAGTACTTGTTTGATCCGGAAAATCTCAACCAAAATGGCGGCCCTTACATGTCTATCAGAGAGCGCCGCCTAGCGGGCGGAACTAAATGGTATTAAGGAAGGTAATCTTGTGTATGGAATGTTGAAGAGCAGAGTTAAAAAAAGCGAAATTTGATTAATTGTTGTCGTTTAGCGAGGTTCAAATTTAATATTGAGATGACACAAACTTGCGGCTATTATTGCAAATACGTTCTTGGATATCCGGCGACGAACATCTATTACGTTAGGCACAATGTCCCACATTTCAACGACCTTGTCACTGTATTATGGTTGTCTTAAATGTAGATAGATCATATGTTTCAAGCACAGAAACAAAACAAAAACAGCTATATCCCTTATCAATAAAACGCGCTTACAGTTTGCGAGTTCGCATACATAACACGTGATAACTGTTTGAAATAGCTGCCGATATATTACATGTATATCAACAACCACAAACCCTTTTTTTGTCTTTTTTTTTGTAATAGGATGTTTTGTATTGCTTAGTTGAAAAAAAAATCCATCCAAAGATATTATTACAATACCATGATGTTTTTTTAAAAAATGGGGGTTTGATAGATTTTTAAAATCAATTTTCAGATTTGCAAACGACCATGGTTCACATCCAGAGACAATGACACTCACTCTTGGTTTAAATTTGAAAATCGAAATTGTCTATTATCATTAACCAAAGACTCAGGCAAAAAAGTAAGCAATATTTCCCTTTTTTGTATCTTTTTAACTTGGATCTTGATCGTATGGATCGTTGGCCTATATTTTGGTTCAAATGCACTTTTTTTAAATTTCCAAATACGGAATAACATTTATAACGTGTCCTGAGATACTGAAGGCAGATATTTTGTTGTCGCTCTAACGAAGCTTGTTTCCTATTCTTCTCGAATTGATTATTATTGTAGAGAGTGTAGCTTGGTGTATTATATAAACAATTCGAATTGATCGGTTTACTATTTTTTTCTTTGTCTTCATCATGTCTTAAAAGCAAGTCATGCTATTTTGTTATTTTTGCGCTGTTAAGTTTTATCTCCTAAAAAAGCTTATCGACTAGCATTTGTATGCAGTGGTAATATAAAAAAAAAACTTGATATGGTAATACAACAGTAGATCTCCCTCAAAAAAAGTAAATAATAGCACGTGCACCGAAAGGTTACACCTGCAAGCATGTGCTTCCATAAATCAGGTGTTTATTAACCAAATACAGCATCAATCGTTGTGTCTCCGTCTAATTCGGGAAAATATGTAGGTCACCAATGTTTAAACATACCGTACAGTCGTCTTTGATTGAGCTGTTTTATTCCTCTCATGCGACGCCGTTCTGAAGTTACCTCCCTTCTTGTCATATCCGATGATAATACCGAAGACATTTTTTTGTGATTTATTAATACATCACTTATGTATTTACTGGGCTTTGTTAAACTATATCTGTGTAACACAATTTTTGCTGGCTAACAAATGGTATATCACCTTCAAATTCGGACAAAACCTCAGGTGATATTCCGTGGCGTTGGATATATATATCTATATCAATTTTATGCAGCAAGCTTATTCTTTAATCCTGGAACATGTACTAGAGTATTGAATAATCGCACGAGGCTTTGCCACTTTATGAATAAATGAATATTATGATGTTGAAATGTTTTTGCAAAAAAATTGTGAAGATGTAGAAAACTTGTAAATAGCATTCAACATGTTGAAAAACATGTGTTAAACAATAAAATTATTGATACAAAAATTTACGAAAATATTAAAATACGAAGTACATTCATACTTTTTATTGTCCTTAATTATTTATAAAACAAATTAAAGTATGTGTTCCTGTCGAATAGATACAAAGCTGGTGACACATACATCGTGGATGACACATCAGAAATGCTCCGCCATAGGATGTGTTTTACATGGTTTCCGGAATTCTTGGCCGCGTTCACGAATCCACTTAGTTGTCACTGTGAATGAAACATTAAAATAATAAAAGGCTATAATGTAATAACCACGGCGGCCAAAGGTCTAAGATTATAAATGTTTAGATAGGTACAATATAACAGCTTCGAAGAACACAATAGAGGAGAGGACCATCCTATATGCATGATGGGAAAAAAACAAGAAATGTAAGAACTTCTCAACATAAAGCTAGAAAAACATTTGTAAACAGCAAAACGAAATGTAAATATTTACTTTGATTGCAGTAAAAAACTACTATTTTACATGTGGCCTTCCACAATAAATGTAAAAGAAGTTTCACCAATAGCAGTATTTACAATCAGAAAGCTAAACGCCTAGGGAATAATTATGTACTTACATGTATTTATACGATATACCAATTGTTCATGCACTGTACCATCATGTTTCAACTTGGTTAGACTCCTTGTAACTGTTCCCACTTTTAAAAATGGTTTGCCCTTCCCTGCCACATCGTCTCTATCGGGATCTTTTGTAAAATATTCTTGTTCCTTGTTCGATATGGATATTGACGTTTTTGTTGTGTTTATTAATTTGCCTTATTCCGCTGTCACGACAGGGTTAATTATGATTCTGTTAACACTAAATAACGGTTAACCTCTTATTTTATTTCGTTGTTTTTAAAGGGGGGTAAGACCAGAAATTAATATTATTTGAAATATATATATGATTTTAAACACAGGAAATATGCAGATGAAATGTTATTTGCACTAGCTTACCCCATTTTGTACCAAATAGCACCGGGCATGATGCGTGTTGCGTTCGATAGTCAACTTCACCGCTCGGCAGCAGATTGTACCAGAAAACGGCAGACCCCTGGAGTATAAACCAACAATAACATCGGGGAAGGGGGCATAACCGGGATATACTTTATTACCGAATGCTTCTAGAGAATTTAACTCTGAGAGGATTCATACCCTTACTTATCTTGGGTGAATTTGAAAATTTAATATACGTGTACATTATTTATTTTTATATTATTGACAGTAAATTTATAGTAAAAACAAGGTAAAAGTAACCTACAAAGCGAATATGTAACCATGAGCACATTAACAGCGTATGCTTATAATGAATACACTTACAATCATAGTCAATTGTGTGTAGCGTATCTTATTTGGCCTAACTACCACATTAATAAGGCATGGGTAATGGTGTTAAGTCAAGATATATTTTTTATTGAATGTTACGTCTATAAGGAAAACATGTGAACATCTTTGATCAGATCATAATTGATGTATTTTAAAGGAGTGTATATTTGTTCAAATAATAGGTACAAGAAATTATGGTGATATAATTCACCAGCGATTACAATCACGTGAAGATTGATTTTAATAAAGTTTTACACGATTACGTAAAGATGTTTTTAACCTAAGCATGTATTATAAAAAAAAAGGCCGAAATATATTAAACTCCATGGTAAAATATCAGTCAATATGTAGAACAAACACGTAAAAGTAGTATCGCAATAGGATTCCTATAACCCGTGTAAGGATTGTCCTTTATTTGAACAGTGTACTTACTTTGATTGGGAGTATCCTTATATTGAGTTTAGGGAAGACTGTAGCACCTCCTGCTTCTACAGTGTTCAGCTAAATAGATAACGACAAAGTCTCGTTAACGATAGTAACATAATTATAACAAAATATTGTATAATGACGTCACAACACAGTGATGAGCTAAATAAAACATTATATACTTTAGGACCGTCGAACCTACGTATTCAGCAAAACATATAATACAATGATGTCACCGTCGGTGGCTACATGGAATATATATAATTGTCATAAAGCAATGTAGTGTAATTCTACATTGCTAAGCTAAATAGGACGCCTTGTTTGGTGACGTAATTTTTTTTTTTTACACAATATGATGTGAGGGCATCCCAGTGCAAAGAAATACAAATGTCACAAAACACCAGCAATGATTCTGACGTCACATACATTGCTACTTGTACAAAACTATTACTATAAGAGCAGCTATCAGTGTAACACGTCAACAATTGTACCTCTATTGTGTGCTACTACTTAATTACTTCCTATCATTACTCCAGTAAACAAATAAAATCCATTCAACATATGTTTGTCAACAACTACTTACATAAAACATCCATGTAGCTATTCTGTCTTCATGTTTATAGCTCCCGTCTTCAATCTCCGTCCTGTTTCGCATCTGTCCAATTACAAACCTTATATACTACATGTAGTACATTGTTACCAATCTATCCTGGTCAACAGAAGGTGAAACAGTGTTCATCTTTACTGTTGTATGGGGTGGAGGTTATATATACACATAGCTGAAGTATTTTATGATAGAGCTGTTTGGAAAATAATAACGAGAAATACGACAAATTGAAGTACCTATATGAAATGCAGAAAGCCGAACAAAGTTGGTCTGCTGGATAACCGATTAACTTGGAAGTGAAGCGGACTTAAAACCAATCTGGCAATCAATCAATCGATCAATCAATCAATCAATCGAACAAAGCAACAGTTTTACTGCACCATATGTCAATTTCATCCATTAAGCTCTAATCATTGAAAATTAAGATAACATGAATGCAAAATCCAGTGTTAAAGTGATACAAACATATTAAGCATACAGCAAAGGAATCGTGGCTATAACAAACTTTATATCGTTACAAACTCACGACTCTTTCCTACACCACAGCTGTAGNGGGGGGGGGGGGGGGGGGGGGGGGGGGGGGGGGGGGGGTTAAAAAACTAAAACTAAAACACGCCCCAAAATCGGACAACGCCATTTTATCTGCAGAATGATAATACAGCACTCACTCACAGCATCTGTTCAAAGGGGGTGACTCTGGCGAGGTCATAAGAGTCCTAGTGCCGCGGGAGAAGGCTAGATGAACGCCTGAAGTCAGGTAGAGCTAGTCAAGAGTAGGCGGAAGACCTCTGGTTATCCAAGTGTTTAACATGTGATACATCAAAGCTTTATAAATCGATATATCAAATATGGTTGAGTTTTGTCAGGCATTAGCCGGAGTCTAAGGCAAACATTATTTAACGCCGTGTGCCTTCTTGTCAAGACTAGCCCTATTTCGTAAAACTCTCAATTAATTGGAATGTTTTCTTTCTCAATTATATCACACATGTTATATGATCCTATATAGTATGACCCCGTCTTAAAATTCGTTAACACTAGATACACAATCGTTACGCCATTGACGCCTCCTTGTTTTCTGAAGGATCTAATTAATAATACAATTAAGCAATAAACCAGTTCAAAACTATGTTTATGTAAGCATAGTATTGTTATTAGACCACAATAATATATGAGTTTGATAGAACCGTTGTCGAATAACATCTTATATGATGTACTGTATATGTCAATGATGGTAAAAGTCATGACTTTTGTCAGCAATCTTTTAACCAGTTCTATCTTTAATGAGAATTGAATATTCTTTAAAGTTTCATTAGTCTGAACACATTGTTAAGTCAACGTTCTAGCTTTTACTTTAATCGGAGTGTCTATCCGATGCTTTGTGCTATTAAAGAAACGATAACGGCTATCATAGCTTTATTCCTAGTGTTAAATCATAATAACGGCTATCATAGCTTTATTCCTCGTGTTAAATCACGATAACGGCTATCATACCTTTATGCCTAGTGTTTAATCACAATAACGGCTATCATACCTTTATGCCTAGTGTTTAATCACAATAACGGCTATCATAACTTTATTCCTAGTGTTAAATCACAATAACGACTATCCTAGCTTTATGCCTAGTGTTAAATCACAATAACGGCTATCATAGCTTTATACCTAGTGTTAAATCATAATAACGGCTATCATAGCTTTATTCCTCGTGTTAAATCACAGTAACGGCTATCATAGCTTTATTCCTCGTGTTAAACCACACTAACGGCTATCATAGCTTTATTCCTCGTGTTAAACCACACTAACGGCTATCATAGCTTTATGCCTAGTGTTTAATCACAATAACGGCTATCCTAGCTTTAAGCCTAGTGTCAAATCACAATAACGGCTATCAGAGCTTTATACCTAGTGTTACTAGTGTTAAATCACAATAAAGGCTATCATAGCTTTATACCTAGTGTTAAATCACAATAACGGCTATCCTAGCTTTATGCCTAGTGTCAAATCACAATAACGGCTATCATAGCTTTATTCCTCGTGTTAAATCATAATAACGGCTATCCTAGCTTTATGCCTAGCGTCAAATCACAATAACGGCTATCCTAGCTTTATGCCTAGCGTCAAATCACAATAACGGCTATCCTAGCTTTATACCTAGTGTTAAATCATAATAACGGCTATCATAGCTTTATTCTTAGTGTTAAATCACACTAACGGCTATCATAACTTTATTCCTTGTGTTAAATCACGATAACGGCTATTATAGCTTTATCACAATAACGGCTATCATAGCTTTGTACCTAGTGTTAAATCACGATAAAGGCTATCATAACTTTATTCTTAGGGTTAAATCACAATAACGGCTATCCTAGCTTTATACCTAGTGTTAAATCACGATAACTGCTATCATAGCTTTATACCTAGTGTTCAATCACAATAACGGCTATCATAGCTTTGTACCTAGTGTTAAATCACGATAACTGCTATCATAGCTTTATACCTAGTGGTAAATCATAATAACGGCTATCATAGCTTATTCCTCGTGTTAAATCATAATAACGGCTATCATAGCTTTATTCCTCGTGTTGAATCATAATAACGGCTATCATAGCTTTATTCCTAGTGTTAAATCACGATAAAGGATATCATAGCTTTATAACAATAACGGCTATCATAGCTTTATTCCTCGTGTTAAATAACAATAACGGCTATCATAGCTTTATTCATCGTGTTAAATCACAATAACGGCTATAATAGCTTTATACCTAGTGTTAAATCACAATAGCGGCTATCATAGCTTTATACCTAGTGGTAAATCACAATAACGGCTATCATAGCTTTATACCTAGTGTTAAATCACGATAACGGCTATCATAACTTTATTCTTAGTGTTAAATCACAATAACGGCTATCATAACTTTATTCCTAGTGTTAAATCACGATAACGGCTATCATAGCTTTATCACAATAACGGCTATCATAGCTTTATTCCTAGTGTTAAATCACAATAACGGCTATCATAACTTTATTCTTAGTGTTAAATCACGATAACGGCTATCATAACTTTATTCCTAGTGTTAAATCATAATAACAGCTATCATAGCTTTATACCTAGTGTTAAATCACAAATATGGCTATCCTAGCTTTATGCCTAGTGTTAAATCACAATAACGGCTATCATAGCTTTATTCCTCGTGTTAAATCACGATAACGGCTATCATAGCTTTATACCTAGTGTTAAATCATAATAACGGCTATCATAGCTTTATTCCTAGTGTTAAATCACAATAACGGCTATCATAGCTTTATACCTAATGTTAAATCACAATAACGGCTATCATAGCTTTATACCTAGTGTTAAATCATAATAACGGCTATCCTAGCTTTATACCTAGTGTTAAATCACAATAACGCCTATCATAGCTTTATACCTAGTGTTAAATCACAATAACGGCTATCCTAGCTTTATACCTAGTGTTTAATCACAATAACGGCTACCCTAGCTTTATTCCTCGTGATAAATCATAATAACAGCTATCATAGCTTTATACCAAGTGTTAAATCACAATAAAGCATATCATAGCTTTATACCAAGTGTTAAATCACAATAACGGCTATCCTAGCTATATACCTAGTGTTAAATAACGATAACGGCTATCATAGCTTTATCCCTAGTGTTAAATCACGATAACGGCTATCATAGCTTTATACCTAGTGCTAAATCACAAATATGGCTATCCTAGCTTTATACCTAGTGTTAAATCACAATAACGGCTATCATAGCTTTATACCTAGTGTTAAATCACGATAACGCCTATCATAGCTTTATACCTAGTGTTAAATCACAATAACGCCTATCATAGCTTTATACCTAGTGTTAAATCACAATAACGTCTATCATAGCTTTATACCTAGTGTTAAAGCACAATAACGGCTATCATAGCTTTATACCTAGTGCTAAATCACAAATATGGCTATCCTAGCTTTATACCTAGTGTTAAATCGCAATAACGGCTATCATAGCTTTATTCCCCGTGTTAAATCATAATAACAGCTATCATAGCTTTATACCTACTGTTAAATCACGATAACGGCTATCATAGCTGTATTCCCAGTGTTAAATCATAATAACGGCTATCATAGCTTTATGCCTAGTGTTAAATCACAATAACGGCTATCATAGCGTTATTCCTAGTGTTAAATCACAAGGGCACTTTAGCTAACGATTGTATGTAATACTATTTGAATTGGACATAAAGCCAAGCAACCTAATCCAGAAAGTCAACCAGAATAATGAATGCTACGTTACTGCTATAACGTTTGTCTCCGCCTAGCATGAATTATGTAGTGTGCCAAAACATATACTCACATCTAGTGCATCTAGTGTTAAATCACAATAACGGCTATCCTAGCTTTATTCCTCGTGTTAAATCATAATAACAGCTATCATAACTTTATACCTAGTGTTAAATCACAATAACGCCTATCATAGCTTTATACCTAGTGTTAAATCACGATATCGGCTATCATAGCTTTATACCTAGTGCTAAATCACAAATATGGCTATCCTAGCTTTATACCTAGTGTTAAATCACAATAACGTCTATCATAGCTTTATACCTAGTGTTAAATCATAATAACGGCTATCATAGCTGTATTCCTAGTGTTAAATCATAATAACGGCTATCATAGCTTTATACCTAGTGCTAAATCACAAATATGGCTATCCTAGCTTTATACCTAGTGTTAAATCGCAATAACGGCTATCATAGCTTTATTCCCCGTGTTAAATCATAATAACAGCTATCATAGCTTTATACCTACTGTTAAATCACGATAACGGCTATCATAGCTTTATACCTAGTGCTAAATCACAAATATGGCTATCCTAGCTTTATACCTAGTGTTAAATCACAATAACGCCTATCATAGCTTTATACCTAGTGTTAAATAACGATAACGGCTATCATAGCTTTATACCTAGTGCTAAATCACAAATATGGCTATCCTAGCTTTATACCTAGTGTTTAATCACAATAACGGCTATCATAGCTTTATACCTAGTGCTAAATCACAAATATGGCTATCCTAGCTTTATACCTAGTGTTAAATCGCAATAACGGCTATCATAGCTTTATTCCCCGTGTTAAATCATAATAACAGCTATCATAGCTTTATACCTACTGTTAAATCACGATAACGGCTATCATAGCTTTATACCTAGACTTAAATCACAATAACGGCTATCATAGCTTTATTCCTAGTGTTAAATCACAAGGGCATTTTAGCTAACGATTGTATGTAATACTATTTGAATTGGACATAAAGCCAAGCAAACTAATCCAGAAAGTCAAACAGAATAATGAATGCTACGTTACTGCTATAACGTTTGTCTCCGCCTAGCATGAATTATGTAGTGTGCCAAAACATATACTCACATCTAGTGCATCATAGTGAAATGAATAATGTCCTCCAATACCGTAGTTCACCACCTAGGAGTAGATAATAATTATTAGATTGTTAACTGTCCATATGACACAAAAATACTATTACTCGTGCACTGTCCGAGCCTCAAACTCACGACCTACAGCACCAAATCGCCAAGCCTGGAAATATCCATGCATCCTTCCGTTATACGACCTGTTTATATAAAAATGAATGCATATAAATTGAAATAGTGTAAAATGTGGCATCAATTTAAACTATAAAATAAGTCCCACTGTCTCATTGTCGAATTATTTTGTATGATAATATATTTTTGAGATAACATCAATTTTAATGAAATATCAAAAATACCCTTGTAAATTGCGCAAAAGAAATTCAACATTTCAAGGAGCAGACGTTCATGTATTAATTAAAGAAAAAATCAAAATGTCTCAGTTTAAACAAAGTGAGAGCTAAACTTAATTTCTATCCAATCAAGTAAAATGAAAATACTGAGCGATGTGTATGAAATATATCACAGCTGTGTTGATAGTTAAATGGTTTTGTAAGTGAGTATATGATGGAGTCAACCCAGCTGTAGGGGTGTCAGGGGGAAAGACATCGAATTAAAATCACTTCATGGAATGTTAATCGTGGATTGGAACATAAATAAGTCGACCTGGGTTTTATTGACGTCATTTCCGGTTCCGATATATTTTTTTCTTTCTGAATGCTGGGTCAGTCATGGTAGTAACTTAAACTGTAGTTTCCTCCATGATGATTGCGACATCTTGTCGTACCCTCGTAAAAAAGCGGAGACCTTGTTTTCTTAAATAATAAGAAAATTGATGTTTCTGTCTTGACGCACTTCTGTTGGTTAAAATCAGGCAATTCGCTGCGGCTGATATTTACATTTGTTTTTCTTATATACCACACGTCAACAATGTATACTACACTTTGTACGAATACGATGTTTTCGATGTCATTGCAAATGATGTGGGGTTTTTCTCACAGTTAGGTACCGTCATTGTTGCAGGTGATCTAAATAGTAGAATTGGAAATTCAGTTGACTTCATAGAGTCAGATACATGTACCGTGCCTAAGTCAACTGTCAATATGCTCTTAAATATTTTTGTATACGACAATGATACTGGTATGTCTAATCGTTTATCTGATGATGGTATTGTTAACACTTTTGGTCGTAAACTGTTACAATTGTGTAAAAGTACCGGCCTTTGGGTATGCAATGGTAGATCGCCTGGTGATAACACGGGTAAATTTACTTTCTGCAATCATTTGGGGATAGGTGTAATTGATTATGTTCTCATACAAAAAGATTTCTTTGGTACGATCACTGAATTTAATGTGCGTGATTTTAATGAATGGTCTGACCATACGCCAATTAATTTTCAATTTAATATAACATTTAGTCCAATTGAAGTACATGCAAGTGGTGATGCTCTTGTTTAAATACATATAAATGGAACGCTGATGGAGAAGCTCAAATGAATAGTAATTTAGATGAGAACATTAATTTATTACACAATATTGTTAATGACATGCAGTCCTCTGTTGGCTCAGTAGATCACGGTATTGATCTTTTTACATCTGTTATAAATGAAATATTTAGCCCATGTTGTCAATCTTTTTCTACTCCACCATCTGACAGTAAATTAAAATGTCGTGCCCATAAACCCTGGTTTTATTCCGATAGAACCCCTGTCAACAGGTTGTCTCTTGTCGAATCCAAGCGTAAGAACGTAAATATTTTAGATCAGAAGGAGACCGTTTAAGTTTGTTACGCAGAAAAAATCCTAAACTTTTTTTTTCAATATTTTAAGAAAAAGTCGAACTGTCCCACAAACCATTTGAATCTTGGAGACTTTTTCGAACATTTTAAAGCTGTAATTAGTGGCGATGATGCTACAGATATACTCCAAATGTTTCAGACTACAACAATTCACAGGTTTATGACGAATTAGAATCTCCTATAACAGATAAGGAAGTATAATGAGTGTTTCAAAACGTGCTAAATTAGGTAAAGCTGCTGGAATTGATAACGCTCTTAATGAATCTTTTGTCAAACATAAGGAGACATTTGTTCCCATTCTCTCAAAACTGTTTAGTGTTATTTTTATGGGCGTCTTTAATTTTCCTTCAGTATGGTTCAATGGTATCATTAACCCTTTGTTCAAAAAAAGCCTGCTAGATTGCTCTAAGGAGTACAACATCGTCTCCGATGCCCAATTCGGATTTAAACCTGGTTTTGGAACCAATGATGCTATTTTTGCTTTACATGGTATAATTAAGAAAGTACTTTCTCATAATCGTAAGCTTTTCTGCTGTTTTGTTGACTATCGTAAGGCCTTCGATAGTGTGATAGAAATACATTATTTTTGAAACTTTTTCATAATGGAATCAGAGGAAAATTATTAAATATTTTGAAATCTTTATATGAAGGTTTAAAATCCTGTGTTAGATATAAGTGTGAATTGTCTGAATGTTTTTCGTGCTCACGAAGCTTGATGCAAGGGGAGGGGTTATCTCCCTTCCTTTACTCCATGTATGTGAATGATTTTGAAAATGAACTTATCAATACTTCTTGCGACGCTTTATTCTTAAGAGATATTTCTCTGTTTCTTCTTATGTATGCAGATGATACTGTCCTTTTCTCATAATTTTCCTCTGGCTTGCAGAAAATGTTAGACTCCTTAAAACAATAAAGCGGCAATTGATAGTCAATATGGGGGAAAAAAATGTTGTATTTCGTAATGGCGGAAGATTACGAGCCGGCGATTTGTTTTACTTTAATGGCAATGAAATAGAAATTGTTGATAGATTTAACTACCTTGGTGTACTGCTCAGCTTTAATGGTACGTTTACAAAAACTCAAGTTACTATTGCTGAACAAGGTCGTAAATGTATGTATAATGCGTTAAGAATTTGTAACAATTTGTCCCTCAACGTAGAATCTAAACTTAAAGTTTTTGATGTCTATGTTTCCTCCATTCTTAATTACGGTTGCCAAACATGGGGTTTCAATGTTGCGGACGAAGTGGAAAAAGTGCATGTTGATTTTCTTTTAAATAATTCTGAATGTAAAAAACAGTACGCCATCTCTCATGGTATATTCGGTTGATATTCGTAAGAAGTTCATTAAAAAGTATTACTGGAGCCGCCCATCTTCATATAAGCTTGTCCAGCTGCTATATGTAGGTAACGAAAAGAGCTGTGTAATCTAGGAAAGTATCTGCAATTAAGTTGGTAAGAATGGTCTAGATTCCAACCAAAGGTTATTGTGTTTTCACTCACTCTGATCGATAGCACCGAGTACTTGTTTATCTCCAGGTTTACACATATTGTGTTGTCCATCCCCTGACTACACCACTGTATACAAATTGTGTGCCTGTTTTTTTGTTTTTGTAATGAACATATTCTTTATTGAGCCCCGGTTGATATTATGCTAAGAAAATGTTGTCAACTCATCTGTTTTCCGATAGTCACAGTACACTTAGGTAAGGTAATTATACAAGAGCTGTCCATCGTCCGATAATTTATTTATCTTGTACTTTATAATAATTTTAAGCATTATGCTGTCCATTTATAGGTACTATATATATATGCGATGTACAAGATTATGCTTCGTTAACGATGTTATAATTATTTGGTATTTTATATCACTGATGTATCAATTATACGTTGTTGTGTATTCTTATGAGCCGTGAGGCTTCAAGTTGAATAAACAAACAAAAAATACAGTAGTCGACTGTTATGTGTGTAGTGCCCCGCGGATATTAGGTCTACCAAAAACAGCACCGTCCTAGTGGTAAATTAAACAATGGTAAACTATTACAAAGTTATTTATAATATTACGTACAGGAACGTTTACTTAGACTAACATTGTATAATTTCTAATATGGTTTCCATCGTCACTTCCGTAAACATGACCCGAATGAGTGATGTTATGCTAAGATTCTATAAACATTTCCAAAGTCTTACCTGGAATTTTTCTGTTGTTTTCACTTCCTTTCGAAAGATCGTATCCAGTCCTGTTATAAGTTCTATCCTCTTTTCCATTTTCAAGCAAATTTCCATTGTGTTTGACACAAACGCACTGTTTCCAAATGTAGAAAATAGAAAGGAAAACACGAAAATGTGTTTTTATAGATAAATACAAGTGCATGCTTATTTAGGTATCCTTCCTTGGTTAAGGTGTATAACTAAACTGTACGTAAATCTAACAGTTCGGGCAACGACAACATCATAACGACAACATCATAGACAACATCATAGACAACATCATAACGACAACATCATAATGACAAAACGACAACATCATAACGACAACATCATAACGACAACATCACAACGACAACATCATAATGACAACATCACAACGACAACATCATAACGACAAAATCATACACGACAACATCATAACGACAACATCATAGGCAACATCATAACGACAACATCATAACGACAACATCATAAACAACATAATAACGACAACATCATAGACAACATCATACACAACATCATAGACAACATCATAACAACATCATAACGACAACATCATAACGACAAAACGACAACATCATAACGACAACATCATAACGACAACATTATAACGACAACATCATAACGACAATATCACAACGACAACATCATAACGACAACATCACAACGACAACATTATAANTATACCTAGTGTTAAATCACAATAACGGCTATCATAGCTTTATTCCTCGTGTTAAATCACGATAACGGCTATCATAACTTTATTCCTCGTGTTAAATCACGATAACGGCTATCATAGCTGTATTCCTAGTGTTAAATCATAATAACGGCTATCATAGCTTTATACCTAGTGTTAAATCATAATAACGGCTATCATAGCTGTATTCCTAGTGTTAAATCACAATAACGGCTATCATAGCTTTATTCCTAGTGTTAAATCACAAGGGCATTTTAGCTAACGATTGTATGTAATACTATTTGAATTGGACATAAAGCCAAGCAAACTAATCCAGAAAGTCAAACAGAATAATGAATGCTACGTTACTGCTATAACGTTTGTCTCCGCCTAGCATGAATTATGTAGTGTGCCAAAACATATACTCACATCTAGTGCATCATAGTGAAATGAATAATGTCCTCCAATACCGTAGTTCACCACCTAGGAGTAGATAATAATTATTAGATTGTTAACTGTCCATATGACACAAAAATACTATTACTCGTGCACTGTCCGAGCCTCAAACTCACGACCTACAGCACCAAATCGCCAAGCCTGGAAATATCCATGCATCCTTCCGTTATACGACCTGTTTATATAAAAATGAATGCATATAAATTGAAATAGTGTAAAATGTGGCATCAATTTAAACTATAAAATAAGTCCCACTGTCTCATTGTCGAATTATTTTGTATGATAATATATTTTTGAGATAACATCAATTTTAATGAAATATCAAAAATACCCTTGTAAATTGCGCAAAAGAAATTCAACATTTCAAGGAGCAGACGTTCATGTATTAATTAAAGAAAAAATCAAAATGTCTCAGTTTAAACAAAGTGAGAGCTAAACTTAATTTCTATCCAATCAAGTAAAATGAAAATACTGAGCGATGTGTATGAAATATATCACAGCTGTGTTGATAGTTAAATGGTTTTGTAAGTGAGTATATGATGGAGTCAACCCAGCTGTAGGGGTGTCAGGGGGAAAGACATCGAATTAAAATCACTTCATGGAATGTTAATCGTGGATTGGAACATAAATAAGTCGACCTGGGTTTTATTGACGTCATTTCCGGTTCCGATATATTTTTTTCTTTCTGAATGCTGGGTCAGTCATGGTAGTAACTTAAACTGTAGTTTCCTCCATGATGATTGCGACATCTTGTCGTACCCTCGTAAAAAAGCGGAGACCTTGTTTTCTTAAATAATAAGAAAATTGATGTTTCTGTCTTGACGCACTTCTGTTGGTTAAAATCAGGCAATTCGCTGCGGCTGATATTTACATTTGTTTTTCTTATATACCACACGTCAACAATGTATACTACACTTTGTACGAATACGATGTTTTCGATGTCATTGCAAATGATGTGGGGTTTTTCTCACAGTTAGGTACCGTCATTGTTGCAGGTGATCTAAATAGTAGAATTGGAAATTCAGTTGACTTCATAGAGTCAGATACATGTACCGTGCCTAAGTCAACTGTCAATATGCTCTTAAATATTTTTGTATACGACAATGATACTGGTATGTCTAATCGTTTATCTGATGATGGTATTGTTAACACTTTTGGTCGTAAACTGTTACAATTGTGTAAAAGTACCGGCCTTTGGGTATGCAATGGTAGATCGCCTGGTGATAACACGGGTAAATTTACTTTCTGCAATCATTTGGGGATAGGTGTAATTGATTATGTTCTCATACAAAAAGATTTCTTTGGTACGATCACTGAATTTAATGTGCGTGATTTTAATGAATGGTCTGACCATACGCCAATTAATTTTCAATTTAATATAACATTTAGTCCAATTGAAGTACATGCAAGTGGTGATGCTCTTGTTTAAATACATATAAATGGAACGCTGATGGAGAAGCTCAAATGAATAGTAATTTAGATGAGAACATTAATTTATTACACAATATTGTTAATGACATGCAGTCCTCTGTTGGCTCAGTAGATCACGGTATTGATCTTTTTACATCTGTTATAAATGAAATATTTAGCCCATGTTGTCAATCTTTTTCTACTCCACCATCTGACAGTAAATTAAAATGTCGTGCCCATAAACCCTGGTTTTATTCCGATAGAACCCCTGTCAACAGGTTGTCTCTTGTCGAATCCAAGCGTAAGAACGTAAATATTTTAGATCAGAAGGAGACCGTTTAAGTTTGTTACGCAGAAAAAATCCTAAACTTTTTTTTTCAATATTTTAAGAAAAAGTCGAACTGTCCCACAAACCATTTGAATCTTGGAGACTTTTTCGAACATTTTAAAGCTGTAATTAGTGGCGATGATGCTACAGATATACTCCAAATGTTTCAGACTACAACAATTCACAGGTTTATGACGAATTAGAATCTCCTATAACAGATAAGGAAGTATAATGAGTGTTTCAAAACGTGCTAAATTAGGTAAAGCTGCTGGAATTGATAACGCTCTTAATGAATCTTTTGTCAAACATAAGGAGACATTTGTTCCCATTCTCTCAAAACTGTTTAGTGTTATTTTTATGGGCGTCTTTAATTTTCCTTCAGTATGGTTCAATGGTATCATTAACCCTTTGTTCAAAAAAAGCCTGCTAGATTGCTCTAAGGAGTACAACATCGTCTCCGATGCCCAATTCGGATTTAAACCTGGTTTTGGAACCAATGATGCTATTTTTGCTTTACATGGTATAATTAAGAAAGTACTTTCTCATAATCGTAAGCTTTTCTGCTGTTTTGTTGACTATCGTAAGGCCTTCGATAGTGTGATAGAAATACATTATTTTTGAAACTTTTTCATAATGGAATCAGAGGAAAATTATTAAATATTTTGAAATCTTTATATGAAGGTTTAAAATCCTGTGTTAGATATAAGTGTGAATTGTCTGAATGTTTTTCGTGCTCACGAAGCTTGATGCAAGGGGAGGGGTTATCTCCCTTCCTTTACTCCATGTATGTGAATGATTTTGAAAATGAACTTATCAATACTTCTTGCGACGCTTTATTCTTAAGAGATATTTCTCTGTTTCTTCTTATGTATGCAGATGATACTGTCCTTTTCTCATAATTTTCCTCTGGCTTGCAGAAAATGTTAGACTCCTTAAAACAATAAAGCGGCAATTGATAGTCAATATGGGGGAAAAAAATGTTGTATTTCGTAATGGCGGAAGATTACGAGCCGGCGATTTGTTTTACTTTAATGGCAATGAAATAGAAATTGTTGATAGATTTAACTACCTTGGTGTACTGCTCAGCTTTAATGGTACGTTTACAAAAACTCAAGTTACTATTGCTGAACAAGGTCGTAAATGTATGTATAATGCGTTAAGAATTTGTAACAATTTGTCCCTCAACGTAGAATCTAAACTTAAAGTTTTTGATGTCTATGTTTCCTCCATTCTTAATTACGGTTGCCAAACATGGGGTTTCAATGTTGCGGACGAAGTGGAAAAAGTGCATGTTGATTTTCTTTTAAATAATTCTGAATGTAAAAAACAGTACGCCATCTCTCATGGTATATTCGGTTGATATTCGTAAGAAGTTCATTAAAAAGTATTACTGGAGCCGCCCATCTTCATATAAGCTTGTCCAGCTGCTATATGTAGGTAACGAAAAGAGCTGTGTAATCTAGGAAAGTATCTGCAATTAAGTTGGTAAGAATGGTCTAGATTCCAACCAAAGGTTATTGTGTTTTCACTCACTCTGATCGATAGCACCGAGTACTTGTTTATCTCCAGGTTTACACATATTGTGTTGTCCATCCCCTGACTACACCACTGTATACAAATTGTGTGCCTGTTTTTTTGTTTTTGTAATGAACATATTCTTTATTGAGCCCCGGTTGATATTATGCTAAGAAAATGTTGTCAACTCATCTGTTTTCCGATAGTCACAGTACACTTAGGTAAGGTAATTATACAAGAGCTGTCCATCGTCCGATAATTTATTTATCTTGTACTTTATAATAATTTTAAGCATTATGCTGTCCATTTATAGGTACTATATATATATGCGATGTACAAGATTATGCTTCGTTAACGATGTTATAATTATTTGGTATTTTATATCACTGATGTATCAATTATACGTTGTTGTGTATTCTTATGAGCCGTGAGGCTTCAAGTTGAATAAACAAACAAAAAATACAGTAGTCGACTGTTATGTGTGTAGTGCCCCGCGGATATTAGGTCTACCAAAAACAGCACCGTCCTAGTGGTAAATTAAACAATGGTAAACTATTACAAAGTTATTTATAATATTACGTACAGGAACGTTTACTTAGACTAACATTGTATAATTTCTAATATGGTTTCCATCGTCACTTCCGTAAACATGACCCGAATGAGTGATGTTATGCTAAGATTCTATAAACATTTCCAAAGTCTTACCTGGAATTTTTCTGTTGTTTTCACTTCCTTTCGAAAGATCGTATCCAGTCCTGTTATAAGTTCTATCCTCTTTTCCATTTTCAAGCAAATTTCCATTGTGTTTGACACAAACGCACTGTTTCCAAATGTAGAAAATAGAAAGGAAAACACGAAAATGTGTTTTTATAGATAAATACAAGTGCATGCTTATTTAGGTATCCTTCCTTGGTTAAGGTGTATAACTAAACTGTACGTAAATCTAACAGTTCGGGCAACGACAACATCATAACGACAACATCATAGACAACATCATAGACAACATCATAACGACAACATCATAATGACAAAACGACAACATCATAACGACAACATCATAACGACAACATCACAACGACAACATCATAATGACAACATCACAACGACAACATCATAACGACAAAATCATACACGACAACATCATAACGACAACATCATAGGCAACATCATAACGACAACATCATAACGACAACATCATAAACAACATAATAACGACAACATCATAGACAACATCATACACAACATCATAGACAACATCATAACAACATCATAACGACAACATCATAACGACAAAACGACAACATCATAACGACAACATCATAACGACAACATTATAACGACAACATCATAACGACAATATCACAACGACAACATCATAACGACAACATCACAACGACAACATTATAACGACAACATCATAACGACAACATCATAACGACAACATCATAGAAAACATCATAACGACAACATCATAGACAACATCATAACGACAACATCATAACGACAACATCATAACGGCAACATCATTACGACAACATCATAGACAACATCATAGACAACATCATAGACAACATCATAGGCAACATCATAACGAGAACATCATAACGACAACATCATAACGACAACATCACAACGACAACATTATAACGACAACATCATTACGACAACATAATAACGACAACATCATAGAAAACATCATAACGACAACATCATAGACAACATCATAACGACAACATCATAACGACAACATCATAACGACAACATCATTACGACAACATCATAAAGATAACATCATAGACAACATCATAGACAACATCATAGACAACATCATAGGCAACATCATAACGAGAACATCATAACGACAACATCATAACTACTTGAAATCACATACAGTCACGATGTTCACATCCGGTAATGGTAAGTAACGCCATGTTTTTCAGGGTAATTATCGATGATTACGGTTGATGTGTTTTTCATTCATTTTGATCGGTCAATAAATGTTCTTACGTTTCACCAATCCTGTTGTCAATAGCTGTAGCGATGCCATCGGTAAAGACTTTGGCTCGAGTAAGCTAAAACCAAAATGGAACAATCATTAATAAATTTGTAATAAAACAGTTCTTTATCAGGTTTTGATGCACATGAGTATGAGATTTGTATGGTGAAAACATTTTCAATTTATCGAACGTAATTTGAAAATAATGATCGCACACTATAATAGACGGGATTATCGGAATCCTTTAAATTCTTCCATATATCTGTTTGTTATGAATCGGAAGACTTACATAAACAACGAACGACAAAAGAAGTTTGTAGCTTGTGGTTGGATGGCGCAGTGGATAGCGCACTAGCCTTTCACCAAGCGGCCGGGATTCAATTCCCCGATCTGACGTGGAAACGTATGGGGTCACCTGACTGACCACGTGGGTTTTACTCCGGTCAACTCCCACATTAAGACCCCCCGCGCTCTAACATCCCGCCCAACAAGAATGATTAATATAAGTTGTGAAAACTTGTTTCATAGTTGTTGTAAAATAATAAAGAATATAAATTGTAGAGGAATTAAAAGGATTGTGGACAATGTATTGTAAAATGTAAACAAATGCGCAAAGCAACTCACTCTTAAGATCATAATTAGATAACAGTGACAAAAAGAAAGAAGCATCAACATATCTACGTTTGGCTTGGTAATATCCTGCAGTTGTGAAATATCTGCGTCTGAAATGACGTCGTGGAACCTGGAAATCCTGGGAACATCGCTCAGTACCTCTTCTTTAACCGTATAGAAGGGAATTCGTGTCACCTTGTTGTAACAATGGAGGACGGGTGTAACATTTACCGCCTGTTTTTAAAATGAGTTTAACAATATAGTTATGTTTGTGTTTAGATCAGAAAATATAGCATAAAGATCATGTGAAAAATAACTTTGAATTGTACCATAAGGTTGTGTTGTCTGAATAGACAACACTTTATTGGATTTTGTGCATTGCTTATATCATTTACATGAATAATTTACAAGGTTGAAAAAGTAACTCATTTGAAAACCGACCCATATAATATTAATATTGTGTCAAATAACAAGAGGTCCTTTGGACCTGTATCGCTCACCTGGTTTTATATTTAAGTCATTACACTGTACAACTGAATGCATTAGTAAATTTGTATATGAAATTTCCTCAAAACCAGACAAGGTCTATGTTCTAACCCAACTGGGACCACACTATCTGACTTTCAACTAATCAGGGGCCTCCATTGAGTTGCCATGTTAACAGATTTTGAAATAAGTAATATGTCATATTACAGGTTGTAATTAGACAATACCCTAATTTTCATTCAACTATAAGCTTTTACTTTTATAAACCTAGAAACCAATTTTTAACAATTTATGAAAACTACACCATAGAATATGATAATCTAGCTGTACCATTTCATAGGACCGCAGGGGTCAAATCAACCTCATTCAATTAAGAAATGTTTGTTCTTCCTCAATAACGTTTTTGACCAAATTTTGTACAATCCACTCAGGCAATTATGGGGTATTAGAGTCTTAAAGCAAAATATTAGATAATTTTCCTGTTTGGGGCCCGGTCTTCCTAGCCCCAGGTGTCGAACCAGCCTCATCTATTTAGGAAATGATTGCTCTCCCCCAATGAAGTTTCAGAGCAAATTTGGTTGAAATCTTCTCTGGCGTTTAGGTGGAGATGCGTTTTAAAGAAAAATTAGCTACGTTCCCCTTCAGAGACCCGCCCCCCTCGACCCAGGGGTCGAACCAACCTCATTTATTTAAGAAATGATTGCCCTCTCCTAGTTATACTTCAGACTAAATTTGGTTGAAATCCTCTTTGGCGTTAAGGAGGAGATAGGTTTTAAAGAAAAAGTTGACGACGGACGACAGGCGCTGCGCCACGGCATAAGCTCACTATATATATATATATAGTCCTTCGGACCAGGTGAGCTAAAAAAAACGTCAGTGTACTAATTTAAGCGCTTCATGCGTTGCCTTTGAAGAGCTATGTTTCTAGAATCTGACATGTTATCACATAAACTAATTAACTGTTACCATAAAGTACAAGTATCACAATGATAATGCAAATACTATGATATATTTGGATATGATAGAAACCATATATTGTTGCAAACTGTTTACAGCAACGTATTGGCTTAATAGTGATGGTCATGGTTATCTCTTTTTGGTAATGGCATGGTGGACAATATACACACTTAACTTGTACATATTATTTAATTTGAAATAAACCAGCACTCCTATAAGTTTATCAATTCATGACAGAAGTTTAGACAATTCAGATTAACTTTTCGCCCCTAGCTTTCCCGATGAAACCTAGAAGGACCCGTTTGTACACGTAAGTACCTATATATTTCCACTACACAGTTGCATGTAGGCGTTGTGTATCTAATTATTTATATATATTTACCTTACATAGCTGTACATGAAAGAGAGAGCAACTCACACCAGCGCTATGTTATTTACACTGGTTACCGGTAGGATACAGGTCGCAGTACAAATCTTTGGTATACACATATAAGCCGCTGAAGGAAAAGCTCCCCAGTATTGACAGGAGCTTGTTACCATGTATCAGCCATCACGAGCACTGCGGTAGGAGACAGAATCCTTGTCGTGTGTCCCAAAATCTCGCACTGTTAGTTACCGAAATCGGTGCTATGGGAGGGTATCGGCCAAGTTGTTGAATAGCTTACAATCTTCTACCGAGAAGTCCACAACTCTGGCTAAATGATAAATGCTCCCAGTACATTACATTTATCTATTGATTTAACCTTCTCATAATCTTAAGCGATTTATTTTAAAGCATTCAAAAACAATTGTGTTTGTTGCAAACGACCTTCAAGTTCTTTAATTGAAGCACATATGCACTGTGACTCTTATGGAAGACTGACCTTACAGGTACAAACGACATTAGCATGGTTCATTGACCCGTTAATTGATGCCGAAGTGATTCATCAATTAGTGACGACTATTTATGTAACACCCAGTTTGTAAACCACACATCTACGGAGTCACCAGTAAAATAAATACGGACCTGTATGTTTCTCTGACACAACTGCCGGTAGGAGCTGTGTATACACGTACCTGTATGTTTCTCTGACACAACTGCCGCTAGACGTTGTGTATGTCAGTACCTGTATGTTTCTCTGACACAACAGCCGGTAGGAGCTGTGTATACACGTACCTGTATGTTTCTCTGACACAACAGCCGGTAGGAGTTGTGTATACACGTACTTGTATGTTTCTCTGACACAACAGCCGGTAGGCGTTGTGTATGTCAGTATCTGTATGTTTCTCTGACACAACAGCCGGTAGGAGTTGTGTATTCACGTACCTGTATGTTTCCCTGACAAAGCTGCTGATAAGAGTTGTGTATGTCATCAACTGTTTCTATCTTCTTTTGCGGTATATCCTCTTCAATCATTTCGGCCTTCTTCCTGATGTTCTTAATCATTGTATCCATCGACCGGGTACCTTTGTTACACAGAGTTCAATGGTTTGACGTAATGCTTCCTAAATGTAATAATGGAGTCTCGTGCTGCTTGCCACTTTTAATCTGGTTGCTGTACTATTTAGTTATGGTATTTCTATTCTATTTCTTATAAGATATACAATATGTATTAATCAAGCCTTTTCTTAATTTATCTAGACGTACACAAATTAGATAAGAAGGTAACTGCAAAACTGGAACTTGAAATATTTTTCTTGCGTAGTGAATATTAAGCTGCATAGATTTAGAAGGAGGAGAAACTCGTTTAGAATATGGTATTGGTATCTTTACACCACGTTTGGCTACCAAACATTACACCCAATACTGCTTAGAGAAAGGGTGGATGCTAATACTTGTGTAAAACACTTCATAAGATCACTTACTTGTTGCCTGTAATTCTGTAAGAATACCCAACGCTTTACTCGACATACCTCCCTGTGTGGACAAAGTGGTCGTGATTGTAAAAAAAATAAACTACATTTAAATGAATAACCCTATTGATCTCATACAATCATTTAGGTGTTTTACTTTCTGCCACATTATTATCACTGAGGGATGTAATCAATATCTCATCCATTTCAATGCATTTGCCTATTTTCTTATATATGTATAGAGGCTCTCAACTGATTCGCATTGCATATGATATATGCGAAACATATTTCAGCAAATTATATAAAAATCAGATCTTATTGGAAAAATATTGAGGTCCATTTTATCTAATACTCAAAACGTTAAACTGCACAATTTGCTATTACACTAACACAGTTTACTTTTTTAAAGAAAACCTTCAGTGTTGCAACTACTAAGGATTTATGACGTCATCTTATTTCTCTTGTGAGGTCATGGTAAGTGACACTTCACATGTTATTTTTATGTTTTTAGACTTTCGTGATGGTAAAAATGATGTGATATTAAACTGAAAAAGGAATAAGGCCGAAATCAGGATGACTTTTTGGTAATTTTGAAAATGTCATATCTTTTTGAAGAAAAACCCCATTAATATTCAGTATGTCAAATATTGTTTGATAATTGTTTGCATTAAAACTTGTAGGAAAATCACAAACCTACTGTTCACTCCCTAAACGAATGTACTGCAGAATACATTTATGTATATATGCAATTTCTGTAATATCGATATTTATTCACAGTTCCGCTAAATTCCGTAACCACGTTTAACTTACCAAGTGATAAGCAATAGCCAGCTTGTATAATATAGACTCATTCTTGGTGACGTCACCTAGCAGCTCGAGGAATGCTTCATACCATTTAATCTGATCCTTTATCTCCAAATAGTTTGCTATCTTGATTACATCTGGCGTTGTCAATGGTGATGTGCTTGTGTTTAATATCGTTCCAGATATCATTTTTTTTATATCCAAGTCATACGTTGCATAAAGCCTTCCCAGACCCTTTGCAGCAGTAATGACGTCATCACTGCTGGACCATATACCATCTTCTTCTATAATACCTTTCCAGGCCGTGTGGAATTCTGAAACAATTGCAAATACTGACAATTTCCAATTCATGAAAGCAAATTTAGCGATGTAAAATGAAAAATAAAACAAACATACTGTAACATTTAAAAAAAATAGCTCGCCATCATGGTGCATGGTTCGTTGTTTACATTAGAGTAATCAGTACTGACTGGGCAAACCCTAAAGTTCAATATCTTTTTAGCGGGAATACCATATCTATTTTTTATGTATGTGTTTAGTTATATACACAAAAGCAATGAACAGTCGATTGTGCTGTGATATGCAGATGCAGTGCACTGCCTTATATTTACAATGACGTCAAATGTGTGCGTGTGAGAAAAAATACCCAAAGACAACTCGAACGTTCTCTATCACAAAACATTCCTCATGCCTGTAGTTCCTTTCAAATAGGAATGCCATATTAAAACAAGACACTATATGTATAGCAATGTATGTGTACGGCTTTTTAAGGTTATTTATTAAGTTAAATAAAAATACTTATATTTACATCATAAATAATATTCAAATGGTATACAAAGGAAAAACAAGTCGAAGCGGGTCGCTACGATGGTAACTACGGTAGCCGTGGTTGCTAGGATACTATAGTTCCAGTGAATCTACATCAATATATGGGTAAATATAGAATATACGCAGTGAACAACACTAATTTTCTTCTCCTTCGTCGCTTTTAAATGGTTAATCTAGTAATATAAACAGCACTTCGAACATTTTTATTCATTTATTACGGTCGTTATATACACGCATTGACACACTTCTGTGGCAGTGACGCGGTAAAACGTCGCAAAAAGAAGCCGCCTTTTTTACTTTACCGTCAAAGAATTTTGAATGGAATTAAAAGTTTGGCAGCATCCCTTTGTTGAAAAATCAGACATAATGGATCCCGAATATGTTTCCAGATGTTATAGTAACCAAACAATGGCTGTCATCGAACAGTTATAACGCTGAAGCGAGAACGGTGCCATATTTGAAATAGGTATCAATCCGCCGACCATTTTTTCATTGTGTAAACGCTATTTAAATGCAGTCAACGTTTACAAAGCTGTAGAAGGGAGGGCTGTTAATATATTTTAGTATGTATGTAATCCCCCACCCAACCCCCGTATCCTGAACATTAATAACATAAAAGACTATCAACAATGTAAATTAATATTTGACCTGCTTCGCTATAGGTTATACCATATCACACCGTAATGTATGCGTTATTACTTGCCAAAAAGGGTGCTGATGAATCCTTTTTAAAACGGCTTTTGCGTTCAATTTCCTAAATTTATTACAACCTCAATATTGAATATCGTAATTATCATATAGTTGTAGTCTATCGAATGACTGATGATTGCCTCTTGTAGAAATACCTACCCTGTGTTGCTGTGGTAGATACACAGGTAATACAGTTGATGTTCTGTTGGACCTCCCTCCATCCGTTAACTGTTCGCTCAACCAGGTGAAATGCATTTATGGGATGACCAATCCATTCTGCGATGACGTCAATTCTAGATCTCTCCTCCTTGACATCTCTTAGAAACCTTTTATTTACAACAAGACTACCTATCAGTTTTATAAGTATCCTATATTGCTTTTCTGTCGACGTCGACGGCGAAGGCGTCAAACATTGCGATTCTCACAACGTTATGTTTACGTTATAGGTTTCTTTATCAGTTAATAATGGGATATTATGGTGTTGAAATTTTGCATGAAGGAGTCTACCTTTTATAATATGAAGTCAAAGTGGGGTAATTTTGTTTCATTTTTTTATCTTATTTTTTTACCTATTTTGGGCCAAAAACATAGAATTTTGGGTGATTTTGAGAATTGGACATTACTTCTTTAATAATTTTAAGATTAACTTCAAATTGCATACACACCTTTAGTATACACAGTACTCTAATGCATACTACGTGTTTTTGCTGAGATTTCCACAACAATTTTTTTGGCAGAAAACAGAATTTTGGGTGATTTTGAGAATTGGACATAACGTCTTTGATAATTGTCAGATTTGCTTGCAATTATTTACACACCTTCAGTATATACAGTACTTCAACATATAATATTGACATTTGCATGGCATTGTCACTATATAGCCTCTTTGAAAGCTGTGTCGTTGATGGAATTTTAATTACCATGTATCACGAGACACAATTCTTAGCGTATTAATACAACACTGACCGGAACTACAATATCCAATATAAATAAACATCACGGCTGCTGAAATATAGCTGGGCATTGTGAGAATTGACAAGGTCATTGTAAATTTATGTGCAAAATATTTTTTTTAATGAAAAACACTTTTATTACAACGAAAACAAGACCAAGGTCTGCAATATCGTACAAAATGCACGTCGGTTGAAATCACCAATGCCGGCAATGGAAACAATTTTAACGCTCATGCAATTTATCATAAATAACGTCTGTTACACTGCACTGATCAACAGGGGTTTGTTACAAATGTCTGAAATACACATATTCTATAGACCTACTGACACATATGTTACAGACCTACTGATATGAGTCACAGCACACATAAACATTTCAGACATTTGTAACGAACCTGTGCTCCGTCGCAAGATCACTCACTTCAAACGCTATCAGTTTCACTCGTCTCGCATCCACGGTTCCTCAGTTTATGACGACATGTCAAATAACGAGGCTGTTATAGAATCTACCGACTGTTGTCAGGTAGTACAATCAACAAATAAATTCACGCCTGGATTCTTCACAAAATGAGCAAAGAGAAAAGTTCGAATTAACTTCCAAAAATAACTCCCTCGTGGAGGGCAAGGTCGGATTTACCGTGTTCACTGTATTTGTTCATGCGCGAAATTTGTTCCGGGGAAAAATCGAAACAATTTCAAATCTTACTTTCAGCTCAGAGTTCTATTGATAAACTTAAATCAACCTATAAACATATCATACGCAATTGTATTGATACTGAATTGTGGAATAAAATTGAAGTGTTTGTTAAAATTTCAAAGTACTACTTTGTTTGCCAATCAGCACGCGACAATACGCTGTTCAAACTATTGAACATAATTGTGTGGACTGTCGATAAGGCGGGCATTTTTAATTTTAAATATGAATTACCAGTATTGAACTGCGCGCATTATGATTTGTTTGCTTGCAAAGCTGTGTCATTCAAATAGATCATTAATACCATACAAAAATAGTTCAATGCTTAAATACGGGTTTATTTTGCTCAAATGACCCTAACATTTTTTTTGCAGAAAACATAGAATTTTGGGTGATTTTGAGAATTGGACATAACTTCTTTAATAATTTTTAGATTTACTTGAAATTTCATACACACCTGAAGTATACACAGTAATTCAACATGTAATATGGAATTTTTGCTGAGATGACCACAACAATTTTTTGGGCAGAAAACATAAATTGTTTGGTGATTTTCAGAATTGGACATAATTTCTTAAATGATTTTCAGATTTGCTTCCAATTGTATACACACCTTCAGTATACACAGTACCTCAACATATAATACAGGTTTCTTGCTCAAATGACCATATCAATTTTTGGGGGGATTTTTGTGTTTTTGGCCAGCTCATGTTAAATTTTTGTTTTTAGCTTAGTAGGTAATGCGGTGTAGAACTCATTCCGGGTCAGAAACAGAGATTTGAAATGCTTGGCTCCATTAGTATTGCGGGTCAGAAACAAAGATTTGAAATGCTTGGGAAGAAAACTTAGGATTTTGGGTGAAGTTTAGAATTGGACATCATTTATTCAGTAATTGTCATATTTTTTATACACACCTTAAGTATTTACAGTAATTAAGCATATTTACTTTCAGAAACATTTCATTGCACATATTTACCAGTGCATATTAGCTACACCTATGAATGTATCTATCACAGGTTTCATGTATGCATGTGATAAAAGCGGAATATATGTACCGGTACCACTTTGTTTTTTTCGATAAAAATGCGGTCTAACTCATTAAATCCAGTGTTAAACCTGTATTCGCAGCTTACCACATGGTTTTGATGTTCTCCTCTCTGACGGAATTTATTTGAAAATGCTATCAGCATAAAATGTTTGTGAAAACACAAAACGGGTAACGGCGAGACATATAATTACGCGTAACTCTTGTTATAGGTATATATATCTCAGATCCAATTTACGTAGTTATTGAAACCTATATATTCCTGAAAGCGTTAGAGTAGTACCACATACCTTTGTACAGTTTCGTCAACATGTGATTGGTTACTCAAGGTTATAGTGACGTAGCGGTCCAATGCTTCCACTAGTTGCCTTTCCTTTTGACAAACGACGGTCAGTTTGTACCCGGATGTTGCCACTTCTGCCGTTACAGCTGTTAGGAGCATCAGCACGCCGCACCAGGTGTATCCCATATTTAGGTCTGTATTTGTATCGACGTTTTCCGTTAAGCACCTGACAATGATACATCTTAAAAGTGTGCCCGCTGGCAGAATTTCTCGTACGAAAACCTGCTTGGTTATACATGTTTGCTAAGAGATATTAACCATCGTGTCTAAATGTGAGCCATCATGCAATTTCTCTTATTGACAGATTAACGATTAAGGACTTCCCACCCTTCGTAATATACATGTTTTTCTTATCGTATTTTCCTGTCGTCATTTCCGTACTGCGTATCGGGCAACCATTACCGTAGTGTAAATTATAGTAACACCGGGTAAACAATAGTACATTTGCGTGACGATGATATATCAACACCCGATATCGAGACGTAACTTGGAAATGTATAATCACACGTACTTCAGAAATAAAGCTTATGATACAAAGACATTTACTAACTCACGGGAAAACACTGACATACGATCAGACAACTTCAAAAAGGTCGTACATGAGGCGCATGGATGCAGACTGATGTGTTTTGTTTACCAACCTCACCTGTACGTATCACGTGCTAACAGTAGTTCACAAGCTCTTGGTCGCTACGACTTTTGTTGTCAAGCGAGTTACGCTCGTTCAGATAAATCGGTTCACAAATGCAATTACAATAACTCTTTGAAAATAGTGGTTTGTTAAATATCAAGATCCCTATAAAATGCAAGTGCATGTGGCATGTGCGTGCACGTAATAACGGCATACTATACCTGACATGTTAATATACCATGCGTAAGCGGGCTATGGAATGATGTCCAAAGTCATGATTGAGAGTAATTATGTCCCATAAAAGAACAGTAAAATGACAATTAAATATAGTAATTTAATTTATTTCCGTCGTTTTTAGGTATAGTAAAGAAAATAAGTGTCATTGTATAAATTCTATCCCTCTGCAAAAAGTTCCGATTTTTTTCCAGGTAGACAACTATCACCAGGATCAAAATTATTGTAAAATGTAAAATAAATTAATTATAAAGACTTTGTGTGTATTTGGTTCAATTTTTCACTCTTTTTGATTGAAACAATGTGTCCTGTTTGCGTTAAGCTTGAATATAGTAACTTCCATACAGTTTCAATAAAAAACGCTGTTTGTAACATGTTGTAGATATTTTATGATAAATACAATATTTGTAGGGTTGATAAGCAATGTTTCTTTTCATATATTTTATTTTTGTTATAGTTATGAACAATGCCTCACGCTCAAAAAATGTGAAAGTGTTGAATTTGACAAAAACTCAATTTTTCGGTATTTAAAAAAATCCCCAGTTTATCGAAATGCTTAGATTTTCATAAAATCATCTCTACATAGTGACATAACCATTATGTGAAACTTTCATTTAATTCTGCTGGCTCATTGCGAAAGGGTGGAGCCTCCTTAAACACTTTGTGTTCAAGGGTTCAAGAGAATTGATAATAAGCTTACTGATAGAAATGATTAAAAAAACCTTTCTGGTTTTACATTGCAATGATCAAATTTTAAGATAGGTACAATACACGCTTATGGAACGGAATTACATTACCCGAGTTGTTCGTTGAATATATACCGTCTGTCTTAAAATGTAAAATGGCGGAGAGGGCTTAATTTAAATTTGCTGTCTGAAGCGAATCAATGTTTTCGTTTTCCTGTAGTACTTGTGACTGGGACATGAGAATCGGTGCATTGTTTCGAGACATTTCGTGATGTGTAGGTTTTTGTATCATTTCGTGATGTGTAGGTTTTTGTATTATAAACGTGTAAGAAATTAAGTTGATCAAAACTAACATTCCCACGGACAGCTTACCATTCCCACGGACAGCTTACCATTCCCACGGACAGCTTACATGCTAGAACGAAGCATAGCTTTACCCGTTACTACCGGCTATCATGGTCGAGTGTATTCAGCGCAAATAGAAACAACGAAAACATGTACCATGCACATCATCGGAAAGGAAAAAAAGCATAAAATACTGTAGTTTGGATAAAAACTGTTATTCGATCTCAAAATTGATTAACTAGGACAGAGTATAAACAAAGGAATAGTTACAATGAAAATCGTCGTGAAATGCACATAATTTTTAAAGAATCGACCCTCAATCGCATAAATTTATATTATTGAATATTTTCATTCAGTTGACGAGCTTTTCTCAAAGAAACTCTGTTTTTAAAGTTTGTTCGTCATCTATCAACATCCATTACGGAAATCCCGATATTCAAAGTGAGCTCTTGAAATTCGAATCAATAGCAAAAACTGTCACAAATAGACATCCGAAAATCCACTGGTACAGGATTCGCACTGCCTGGAGTATCAGTGTGGTTAGAGGTTATTGATGTTGTGCTTCGGGAGATAAATACGAATTTGAGGAGTGACACTTCCTGCTATTTATGTATGTGTACGATGTTTGGAAGTAATTTGGTACCGTCTATTTAAGGATTGAATCTTGGTTTTGTCGATTTCAAGAGGTGATAAATTGAGTAGATCTTGAAACAAATTTAATAAACTCTTCGAAGTTTATTATAGTTTCAAGACCAACTCAATTCATCACCAATGATATCGACCAAAGCAAGTTTCAATCCTTATATTTCAATCAACATGTGTTTTTTTCAATATATTGAACTAGTGTAGGTCCATTCTGTTAGTTTGTCCGTGATTCTGGATCTTATACAAGTCTACTTATTGACGTAATGTAAAACAATATAGTCCGTCATTGAAGGACCATCATACAACATACTGGAGCACGATGATATCAATACTTCCAAATTATGAAGAATCTCACACATAAAAAAAATATCTTAAATTTCCTATTCAATTTTTGTTGATGAATTCATAGATTTAAGTATTAATAAAACTAGCGCGTATTCATACGCGCATGAAACGTTAATCTGGTAAATTTCATAGGCAAACGACACAGTTAACATTTGGTAATTTTATTGAGTCCAATTTTAGCAGAACTTGAAATATTTGTAAATGTGCCCTTCAGAAATGGGGACACCACTTCATTGCTAGGAAGACCAGCTAAATTATTTACATGTATTTCTTCTTAGGCGAGTAACCATCAGATTTGTGATGTCAAAATGAGAATTGATTAAAGTCATAAATAAAATATGTTACATGGCGTCACGACACAAAGCCGAGGTGACATCAATCAACACGGAACAATTTCATGAAATCCCACAATACCCCCGACTCAAACCGGAAGAGAAAGGAACGTTACCTATATCTCAGGTGGTTAGATGTTATTGTTCATAAGATAAAGTATAGTTCATATATCTTACGTGTTGCATAAAACGTACACTTTCACCGAGTCCGTTAACCTCGTCACATTTTAGGGAAGTGAAGCATACACATAAAATGTATTGACCTTTCTCCCTTTAAACATAGACACAGGAAAAAAAAACCAATAGAACTGCTGGCAACAGTGTTATAGATTATTCAAGGCTCACAAGACATGTTCAGATAACTGCTTGACACTGTTGATAAAAGCCACAATTAATGATATTTTCCACCTAATAATTAACGTGATAATAAAATATCCTAAGCTTTAAATATACCCCTACTACACATATAGAAATTATCAAGAGCTTTCTGATACGTAGCAAACATCTTTCAAAAATGCTTCAAATATGTTAGTACAATATCAAAGTATACCAATCAATACGTCAACACATAGACAACAAAAGAAAATATGTTAGTACAATATCAAAGTATACCAATCAATACGTCAACACATAGACAACAAAAGAAAATATGAACGAACCAAGAGGACAGCAATATACTGCAATAACTATCAAGGTGCATCGATAGGTTGATAAACGGTTAATATACACTGTTGAGGTGATACCAACGTGTGTTGTAACCTTTAATCTGACCAGCAACACTCAACAAAACACATGGACACTATAGTAGCAGCGTCGCACTCTGAATGAAGCAGCGGTTTAGCAATTATTGGGTACTGGTAAATCACTAACCTCAACAGTTCCTCACTTAGACGCACACTCGTTTAAGAGAGATCAAATGCCGTCAATAGCACATTGTTGCCAGTTAAACAATTATCAATATAGTGGTATGAAAAGGTTATAAAATAACTATTATGAAACAGTTACCAGAACAAACTTACTGTGTTGTTATAAAACTGTTACCAGAATCCATTTGCTAATTGTTTTGTCTGAATAGACCATGAAAAGTTCAGCATTTACCTTCACCTTCATTATAAAATGATGTGTATTTGATATTCATTATATCTATGTCTTGAGTGTGGTTTAGTTCCAACCCAAATGATACGATGTTCGGGTAAGTTCGAAAATAATCCCTTTATCTAATTTAAAGAAAAAACTTAAAATACAAATATAATATTACAAATAAAACACACAAAAAGCGATGACATCGTATACCGCAGTGTTTGGCGCGGTATTTGTAATTCCTACTTCTGATTGGTTGAAATTACTCGATGATGAACTAAAAAGTGTTTTCTATCCCTTTACATTCAGTTATAAGGGATAATCTTGATTAGCTTTGGGGTTATACGGTATATAACGTACAAAACTTTACTTTTGTATTGAAACTGCTTCGCAGGTTTATGTAAAGTACTTTTTACGGTATAAACCGTTTAACCCCAAAAATTATTCTGGTTATTCCTAACATTTAACTGACTTAATTTTATCTAATATTATATCAATAAAGTTTAATGAAAAAGTGAAACATTCGTCAATCATAAGACACATATTAATATAATCGATATAGCATATCGTTACTGTAACGGATTTTCTTTATCGCTTCGCTTCGAGAACTCTGCTCGCTGCGATGGCAATTTGATTGTTGCTACAAACTATTCCCCAGCTTTGTATTATTACCCACTATTACCCAACTTTGTATTGCTATACACTATTACCCAACCTTGTATTGCTACACAATATTACCCAGCTTTGTATTGCTACACACTATTACCCAACTTTATATTGCTACACACTATTACCCAACTTTGTATTGCTACACACTATTACCCAACTTTGTATTGCTACACACTAAAACCCAACTTTGTATTGCTACACAATATTACCCAACTTTGTATTGCTACACAATATTACCCAACTTTGAATCGCTACACACTATTACCCAACTTTGTATTGCTACAAACTATTACCCAACTTCGTATTGCTACACACTATTACCCAACTTTGTATTGCTACACACTATTACCCAACTTTGTATTGCTACAAACTATTTCCCAACTTTGAATCGCTACACACTATTACCCAACTTTGAATTGCTCGGATCATGAGACATATTACTGATATCCGGATAATCATTTTGTATTGTTTACGAGTGGTTTAAACAAAACAGGAGTTCGGTTAGTATTTTTACAATTAAATACGCGTCAGTTAAACAATTACATATGACGTCATACATTTATAAAAGAGAATATGAACCAGCTGTGATACTGCGTTTTGGATTCCGACATCTAAATTCGATATCTACGTCTTCTATGGAAACAAAAGATGTAAATTAAAATCGTACTGCCGTTGGTTAGCCATCATCATTGATGTCTTTCCCTGGTTTTTCCTTACGTCTTTTTTTGTGGGCTATCATGGTGCTTTTCCTTTTGTTTTGTTGTCAACTAATTTTTTGTATTGCTAATATTTTTTTATGAAATTTCGGGTCATATATTGTCTGTGTTGCCAATCATTATGAGTTTTTATTAATTTTTAATTTAACAACTCTTCACTCATCAACATTCCAAAATATTGTGATATCAATCAAAAAGTTTAATGTTGAATAATCTTTGTGAAAGAGACGAAGCTTTTATAACCCATGTTAACACATACTTCCTATTCGAGGACGACGCTTTATATTTTTCCCAAACTCAGACGATCAATTATTTTTTGAACCTACCAAAAATAAAGCCAAATAAACAAAACAATATGCCAGTGCATTTGATTTACACATTACATGACGCACATTGACGCGTACTTTGTTTATTGAGTTAGTATGACGGACTCATACTTTTACACCTGAAACAAGAGAAATAAACCTCTGACGAAGCAGCTGATTCGATGTCGCAGATGTATTCACAGAAAATGTACATCCAAAGAAAGTTATTCATGATGATTGCTCGATGCGATAAAAATTTAGAAATGTTCATCCAAAGGATTTCTTTTGCATGGTTGCCGGAATTCTTGACCAATTTCAAGTATCCACTTTGTAGTTACTGAAACAAAGGTTATTTAAATACAAATATAAGCAGCACAGTGCAATTACTATACGTAATTCATACATTTAACCCTTAGACTAGCATAATCCGATATATACGTACTGTTTATTGATTATACTCGTTGCGCAGGATTGCAACTCGTAGAAGTCTTTAATTCATGTCCTACTTTAGCCTCAACCTCACGTTATACGTCTGTAAGTGAGTATTTAGGAGTAATGGTTTGAATAAGTCTGAGGAAAACAATATCTATCCACTGTTTACACACATTTACATATCCTCAAATCATACAAACGAAATACTATAATGAGTAAAATTAGGAATCGTACATGGTTTTCTTTTTATATCGTTATTATATATATTCTCAAATAAAGGAAGCACGCAAAATCGATGCTACATGTCTAACTGACAAGCCAACATTTTTTTTTTATCTTACACAAAGACAAGCAAATTCGCTGTTTGGTGAAATATATGTGATATGTTCTCACACTTACTCCATTTTGACCCTAGTAATACTGGACACGATCCATGCATGGACCGTTCGTCACGGACACCGCTTGGCAGTAAGTTGTACCAGAAAACAGCGGATCCCTAAAATAGCAACAGATTCATCACGTAAAAGAATGTTACCATACATTTCTTATGAAAGCACGTTCATGACAACTCTGCAAAATGCTTGCAATACCTGTAAAACAACGCTTTATTGGGTACATTATTGTACAAATATTCAAGTATGATGTTTTATACCCTATCTCAAATCATTTAATATTTTGAAGCAATAAAAAAGAATGAAAATTATTGAAATCATTTTGTGATAAAAACTATATCATTCGGCATTTTTTGCACCAGTAAAAATTCGACAAAAAACTAAACATCATTAAAGTTCAATAAAGGACAACCTAAGCTTAACAAGTTTTTAAGCTATAAAATCTGTAAAAGATTATTTTTCTTGTACATGTATCTTGTACTTAATTAATTGATAACAAAGAAGTTTATCCATAACATAGTTGTTAGTTCGCGCTCATTGATGTCCTGGTCTCTTACGCATTTCCAATACAGTGTACATTGTACATCGTCTCGACAATATTTGAGTTTCTTCGGTTTCAATTTGATTGATGCGAAACTAATGACAAATTCACCGTCTCGCTAATATGAAAGGGGATTCAACAGAAAGTAGGATATGGCAACAATTACATATTTATCAATATTTTCAAACGATTTCATTGGTGTTTTTTTTTATCTTATTCGCAACATCTATTTTACCGGTTGGTTTATAAAACAATACCACAGGTTTAAAACACGGTGGTGATTTAAATACAAATTTATTCTCTCAATGCCATATGGAGTGATTCGTTTTCACTGTTCAACGTAGGCTTTCATTATCTCAGTACTGTAATAAGTACTTTCTTTGATTAAAATAGTTTGTACACCTTATCATGGTTTCTAACTTGAACTTCAATATGAATTCATAAACATAATCATAATTAATCATAAATCACATTCCTCAGCCTATTCTCCTTTGTAAAACGATTTATATTTTTGACAGTTTATATTATATAATTATTCCTTATTAGTACTCACTTTCACTGGAAGTATTCTTAGATTGAGCTTTGGGAACACCGTGGCGCCTCCTGCTTCTACATCACTCATCTAAACAAAATATATTAAATCTACATCACTCATCTAAACAAAATATATTAAATCTACATCACTCATCTAAACAAAATATATTAAATCTACATCACTCATCTAAACAAAATATATTAAATCTACCTCACTCATCTAAACAAAAACAAAAAACAAAAAAACATATATCGGACGTCTCAACATACAGTTGTGGGATCGCACAACATTACACGATGTGCGGGGTGTGCACAACATTACACGATGTGCGGGATGTGCACGATGTACGAACGATACAAATTTGATGAGCATTGCTTGCGCACATTTGTGCGCTCGATGGACTAACGTTGTGCGATAACAATCGTGATTGGTGTAAATTGAGGAATTGCTTAACAATATATACGGTTCGTGGTTAAACATATACACTTGATTTTTTAAGTATGTTTCTATATTCTAGCTACATTTATCGGCATATCTTTCTGTCTATACTTTCTTAAATTTAGTAATGGTGTTTTCGGTACGGGCATTAGATATAAGTAAAATTATTGAATGTAACACTCAATCATCGACTATAGTCTTTAGTAAACGATATATGGAATAGTCTGATACGAACATCTACAAAGTATTATACAATTATACAGCCAAGCGACATGGGTACACCCGACCCGACTTGTTTGCATTATGGTGTGTATGGGAGTGCACAAGAAATATTGCGTTAGTGCGAATGATAATGTGCTGTGACAAGTGTAACTGTGCATGTTAAATGTTTTAAATATGTTGTTTGTCAAATATAAATCATGGTCTGAATATTGTATTATTGAACCTCGTAATTGTATATGAAATCATTTCATACTTCTATTAAGTTCACCAATGTGTACATATATATGTATTTGTATCTCTCATTCAACTTCATACTCCTTGAAATATCTGTTCTCTTTCTTAACTTTAATAATTTTCAAGGACCGCTGTTTGACCCTTTGTTTTTGTCGGAGATGTATTTAGACTTCGTTCCCTTACATATGTATGTATACAAGCTACACTTTTTGTTCTTACCTCCGACTTCTATCTCTTCTAACACGATTTCGTCATTGACTCCTCTATATCTGCTGCCTTTTTATCTTACTTTCATGACCTTACCCTCTATCCCTACTTTTCACGGTGTCGATTGTATTCTGATCGATGTCCATCACTTAATGTGCTTTTTGTATTGTTTACGCGAAAATGGGTAATTCTCTGGAAGCATATAGGGTATCCATCGGAAGTTCCATGGTAGTAACCACTCGTTCATCACTTCCTCCAAAATCACACTGAAATTTCCTTTAATTGTTCAATTTGCCATATCTGTCTTGAAAGACAATATTGTGACATGTTTCAATGCCTCCTTTACTTGTGTGAATTATGCGCTACTTGCATCGGGATTCTACAGTACCGACTTTCCGTTTCTACTTATCATTTTTCTTCTTAGTGGAGATATTGAAAGAAACCCCGGCCCTTACAATGTAAGTTATTTCCATTTAAGTACATTGCAATCAAACGTTAGAAGCATAAGGAATACATTTTCGTTTCTATTATAAGTGACTTTGATATCCTGTGCTTCACAGAGACACACCTAGATGACTCTGTTGAAAATGAGCCTCTAACTATTCCCGGTTACTCTTTATTGATACGTAAAGATAGAAATGCGCATGGGGAAGGGGTTATTATTTACGTCTATGATATTATCAGAGCCAAGCCATACGCAAACGTGAGTTTGAACAAGCTTCTATCGAATGTATTTGGGCGGAAGTGATGTGTCACAACAGACGAATTATGATAGGATTATTTTACAGACCTCCAAACTCTAGTAATACATTTTATGAAAATTTTGAATGGTCGATTGAAACTGTATGCGAGTATTGTTCTGATGTAGGTATTCTTGGTGATTTTAATGTCGATTTGAAACGTTGTAATAGCAAATTAGAGGTCTTAACATCTAACTAAAGCTTTATAACACTATTACAGAGGCAACTCGTGTAACTGCCGATACAGCTACACTTCTTGATCCTATATTTATTACTACCAACATAAAGTGTGTGAATAGCGGAATTGCTTATGTAGATACAATTAGCGATCACAAAGCTACTGTTATGAATTTATCTTTTTCTCATTGTTGCAAGACATCTTATGAAAGACTTATTTGGAACTGCAATAGAGCAGACAGTTTAAAAAAATAATGATTTGATAATGGCAGTAAACTGGCAAGACCTGATTTGTAATGCACCTTCTACTGACTGTGCAGTAGAAAACCTTACAGCAAAATAATTAGTACTAGCTAGTACATGTATCCCAAATTCTAAAATATGTTTTCGCCCTTCAGATAAACCTTGGTTTGTTACTGTCTTACGGAAACACTGACGTATACGTGACATAATGAAGTACAAAGCATTAAGTTCAAAGCGCCCGGATGATTGGTCAAAATATAAGAGCATAAGAAATGAAGTTAATAATATGAAAAAGAAAGCCCTAATCACCAAATCTAAAAATAAAAATCCACGCGAATTTTAGAAAATTTTAAACAGTTTTTTCTCTTCTCCTGCCAGATATATTCCTCTTTGGATTATTCGGTTAATGACTGTTCAACAGTGGCATACAGTGACCAAGAAAACGTCCAAGTTCTAATTAATTATTTCGCTTCAATGTCATGTACTGATGAATTCCATGTCACTTTACCTAATTTTCATAGAAAATGTCAAAACTCTCTCACTTATGTTGTTATATGTATAACAAGCATAAGAAATGAAGTTAATAATATTATAGCAATGTCATAGCCTCCCACTATGTTGCTTATGAAGTTTTTGATCTTTTATCTATTCTAGATAAAAGAAAGGCAGTTGGCCCTGATGAGATCAGTAACCGTATGATGAAGGCTAGCCAGAACAATGTCATAGCCTCCCACTATGTTGTTTAATTGATCTATCAGAAAAGCTGTTTTCCCTTCTGAATGGAAAAAAACCTCATGTCTTGGCGTTATTCAAAAAAGTAGGGATACTTCTTAAAGTATCAACATAGTACGGGGCTACTACATACAGTCTCAACATAATACGGGGCTACTACATGAAATGTCAACATAGTACGGGGTTACTACATACAGTCTCAACATAGTACGGGGTTACTACATACAGTCTCAACATAGTACAGGGAAATAACATACAGTCTCAACATAGTACAGGGAAATAACATACACTCTCAACATAGTACAGGGAAATAACATACACTCTCAACATAGTACGGGGTTACTACATAAAGAATCAACATAGTACGGGGTTACTACATACAGTCTCAACATAGTACGGGGTTACTACATACAGTCTCAACATAGTACAGGGAATTAACATACAGTCTCAACATAGTACAGGGAAATAACATACAGTCTTAACATAGTACGGGGTTACTACATACAGCATCAACATAGTACGGGGTTACTACATACAGTCTCAACATAGTACGGGGTTACTACATACAGCCTCAACATAGTACGGGGTTACTACATACATTCTCAACATAGTACGGGGTTACTGCATACAGCCTCAACATAGTACGGGGTTACTACATAAAGCCTCAACATAGTACGGGATTACTACATACAGCCTAAACATAGTACGGGGTTACTACATACAGCCTCAACATAGTACGGGGTTACTACATACAGCCTCAACATAGTACAGGGTTACTACATAAAGTGTCAACATAGTACGGGGCTACTACATACAGTCTCAACCTAGTACGGGGTTACTACATACAGCCTCATTATAGTATGGGGTACTACATACAGCCTCATTATAGTACGGGGTTACTACATGAAGACTCAACATGGTGCGGGAATACTACATAACTCCGGGTTATTTGGAGACAAAAATAAAAAGTTTTTTTTCAACTGATCGGATAACACGCAGTTAACGAACCAATGGTATACATGTAACGGCCTTTGTAAATACAAGATTTAATGCAAAAGAATCATAACAACAACTAAGAATGAGACATGTTTATAATGTAGCAGTATGACATAATATAATGTTACCTATACACTTATTTCACATAAACTAATCAAGGCTAAAAAACAAGGGAATGGAATATTAAGAAAATCCTGCCATGTATTTTCGTGTTATTACTACTTACGTAAAACATCCATGTCGCAAATCTGTCTCCCAAAGCGTAATCCCGGTTAATAGTCTTGATTTTATTTAACTGAAAAATAAACAAAATAATAAATCATATTAATAAGTATCAAACATATGCAAACAATTAGCTTCATAGGGCAATAATAAAACATACAAAAATCTAATTCAGTTCCGAAGAGTGTGATCTTAAGAATGTTAACAATTGAGTAAGAATAATTCACATTCATTTTTTATGATTTACGTATTATGGTACAAAGCATAAATATACATGACTTTTACCAGGTATTCAGTAATTTGGGAGATGCCACAGAGGACAGTGTGTCAGGTTACCCTAATAACTAATGGAAGCACACAGTACAAGTCATTTTTGGGTAATAAAGCATACTTACATCTAGTGAATCATAGTGATTTAGGTAGTGTCCGCCGAGCCCGTAGTTAACCAACTAGGGGAATAAACGGTGTTGTGTCATGATCACCTTCAATAACTATATATTTAACAAACTTACAGTTATTATAACATTTACCTACATGTTTGTCATCGGTAATCTACATATAAACTTTCCTAGATCTGACTATTGATACCACGGCGGCTGTCGTATGTCGCACAGACAACTGACCCTATCGAACCTACAAAAGGTAGCTCATTTGATGATTACATAACTAATTTTGACATGCGAGACCTGAAAATTATGTTTCTGAAGTTTCGCAATACGTGACAGCAGAAGTCATATATACTTATGAAAAGATATATTTCACGTGTTCAATAATTAACTACACGATAGGATATAAAATACTGACCATGATTTACGGCGGAACACAAGCACCTGTACAATTTTTTATTTATTTCACCCACTACCTCCTGAACAGCCGACACATTTTAATATCTTATGATTTAAAAGGAGGAAATACCTAAAATCTAAACTGCATATCTGTTATTACCAAAGCGTTTCTGTTTATACAAGCAATATACGTTTTAATCGTATCGCAACATTTCAAGACCGACTGGTCCCTTTGTCAAGCTCTGACTGATTGAGGCATATCCTGACAAAGGGAAAAGACGGTATCGACCAGTCATTGATACGTTCAATACGTATATTGCTTACATATCTTCTGCCGAAATTTATCAAAACATAACAGCAAAAGTCATATAAACACGTGTTTATGCTGTGAATACAGTTTCACCTGACCAGCACTATTTTTAGTGAAACATTGTTTGATTTTATGATGCCGACACATACATCAATCGGTGGTTTTTTAGGTCATTGTTACACAGTATAAGTTAATCCTTTATCAATTCGTTCCTCATCACAAAGCAAATCCTAAATTAGGTTGTATCAAATCTGGAAGTTATAGCCTTTTCATCTAAAAACCTGTCTCTTTCTGATGGAAAAAAAGTCGTTAAATCTTACAGAGTTGCAATTGCATTTTACTTTGCAATACTTAGGTAGTGCATCTGGTATTCAAATGTGGATATTGTGCTGATTGTTATCTAAAAACGATTTAAAATGTCATGCATGAGAGAATGAAATAACTGATACGAAATACTCAATATTTCTGTTATACCGACTTCCGTAGTAGTTAAATCACATGTATAAATGTATATTGGTCTTACCTCGAAATGTTCCGTAGTTTGCATTTCTTCACGATAGAATGTATCTAGTCCCGTTAACAGTTCAACTCTATTTTCTAGTTTTTTGGCAATTTTCTCTGACGGTTCTATCCATGCACTGTGTCAAAGAGTTAAAACAGTTACACTGTAAGTCAACCAAATCCTTACAATATTTTAATTTTAACAAATATACGTTTGTCTGTAAAGCAAGTATGTTAATAGCATCATATGGCCACCCGAACAACAGCGTTGACTTTCTATCTAGTTGCGCCTTCAGCATATGAAAAAGGCTTAGTCGAACAACGCAATACTTATACAATAGACCAGTAATTATTCAAAAGTATTGAGAAGGATATTTACAGATAAAGAAATAACCATTTCATATTTGTTACGGTTATACAATTAAACAGACCGCTTTTATCCTTAGTATGTGTTATTGCTCGATTCTTGAGCAGCCTCTTTTAATATGATTCCAATGATGTATTACGTAGTTTTCTGCTACGTATCTGCCAGTCAACATACTTACGTTTCACCGGTTCTAGTTTTATAATTAGGCATGACTTTGCCAAATCGACCAATGACGTTGGCTGGCGATAACTGCAGACATAGAAATAACAAGATTCGACACTAGACATGGAATCATTTTTATCACTTATAACTCGGTCAATATGATTAAATTTCACTAAAATTTAAAGTAATTGGTTTTAATTATATTTTACGTTAATGTGATCACATCAAATTTTATTTTTTAAATCCATTATCTAAATGTCATTTAGTTTGTTAGATTTAGATAAAGACTTCATTATATACAAATAGTAAAAGGGCATAAGGGTTTAGTATTCACCAATTTCGTTTACAATACTTACATGCGCCTTGCATGCATACTTGACTTGCATTATTTCCATGTCAGATATGACGTCATGGAACCTGGATATTCGTGGTACGTAGCTCAGTACCTCCTCTTTACCTGTGTAGTAGGGGATTCGTGTCACTTTGTTGTAACAATGGAGGTTGTTTTTAGACTGAAAATAAAACACTGTTTCTTTGGTAGGGAAACAGGAAAATTCCTTCCTTCTTTTGATAATGTTACTACATTAGTTAGCATATTAGTAAAGACGAACCATTATATGTTGTGACTTGTTGAGTTACCGACTTTGTAACGAATTATTAAGGTTCATGTTTTACCTTATATACTCAAAAAAACCGAAAGAACAAATCGGGAGGAAAAGTTTGTCACTTTCATGTATCTAAATATATATTACAAATGATGTATTTAGAAAATGAATGCAAAGTCTATACGATAGACACTATACGAACCTAAACAACTAGTTATGGAATTGATGCAATACAAATAGCCTGATATAGCGAGATAGCAATTGATTAACGCAAAACCTTCACGATTAACATACCAGCATTTAACTATAGTAACCGTGATATAGATATTGTCCTGTATTCATTATGGTACCGCTTCACTTGATAATAATTCAATTGACATCTTGCCTAGTTCTGACTGTGACTCTAATACTGAATGTCTTCCCTTCCGTTCGGTTTAGGAAGGTTTCATGTTGGTATGGCATTGGCTTGCTTGTTTGCGTTACATTTTTTCACACCTTTATTGGCTGTCGGTAATGTCCATTGTGCTTTAACGGCTCTTTTATTCGGAGGAACCATGCAAAAGACGATGGAGAAACAGCGATACAGACATATCCATGTTCTCATTGAAATATCGGATGACCAACCTCGCTTAGGATAACAAAACATTGCAGATATCTATATAATTTGATCCATACGGCACAGCAATGTAGCTATGGAACGAAGTACATGTATTTATTCATAATTCAGTATAATGCCAATGTATTGTAAAGTCTCTGCTATGCCATCGTGAAATACCAACCATTCACTATACTACAGGTGAAAGCGACTAAACATTAATGTATATACAACGCATTGTACAATGTAGTATATATTAAAGAATAGGACAGAACTAGTAGAATAAAGATGTCTTGGTGAGATAACACGGCATTATAGTATATACTTTGATGCATTATAGTATTAACTAGTAATATGGTGAGTGAATGAAAATATTTTTTAAGATTTATTCATGATATGGCGAGTAAGTTACAATGCATAGGATATACCTCTGAAATCAGTGAATGAACATGAAAACATGATATTTTCAATTACAAAGTGAATTATAGTTTCCTCCAATGACATAACGTATCATACAATATATATTAGATACAAAGCGAGTTCACAACCATGCATGTTCAATATTTTTCATGCTATAAGCTAGAACAAGCATTTACTCATTGACTACCAAGTTAACAACAATGACAATACATAACAAGTCCACGACCTAGAAACGTAACAGTAATGCAGGAGTAGTTTATAACCCGTGCCAAGTCATTAGTTTCACGTTCTGTAACGTTACAGTAAATATTCGCTCCATTGCCTAGAATGTAGGAAAGGAACCGTCTTCCCCGTCAACTCGGACCAATATTAATGTGCAGGGTACCTGTATGTTTTCCCGACACAGTTTCCGGTAGGTATGGTCCATCTCGGCAACTGTACTTGTTGGCTTTTCGTGCGGCTCTTTATCTTCAGATTTCTCGGCCTTCTGCCTGACGATATTAAGCATGCTCGCAACACGTCTGGTACCTTTGAAATTAAAGGTATTACATTTAACGATCGAGCCTTGGATAAGAGGTACAACAGCAAATGATTGGAAAAGTCTATTGAGGGATGCACTGTAAATAAATGTGTTTTTTTCACATGTGAAAATATCACTTAAAATAATGGCCAATCAGAACAATATGTATTATTCACTGCAGTTATAACCGTAGATTTTTAGTTTCAAATAGAGANGGGGGGGTTGGGGGGGGTACACTTTTGTTCCATCATTTTATTACGAAAACCCATCAGAAAACAGCAAACGGTACAATTACGTTGAATTACCAATTCAAAAAAGTGCACATCTTTGTCGTAAAGCGTGACCTCATTAGAACTTGGCGTCAAATATGTCGTTTCTTATCTCGAACAAACTTTCGATACATCAGTATTTTCGTCGTTATCAGTTTAAAAAAATAGCGATATTTTAAAAATAACGCTTTTCACATTGAATGCCATATATTTATATTACAAGTATGGCAGAATACATAATAAATTCGTACTCGCAAAAATAACGATATTCTACTTTACTCGTGTAACAGAGTATAGTGCTTCACTGGAAACAATTATACATCCTGTATTATACAAAGAAACGATAGAATATGTATTACTACTTACCTGTCTGGTGTAAATCCTTTAAGATAGCCAATGCTTTCCGTGACCTGCCCACCTGTTTTTCAGAAAGTGAAAATTCTTTTAATGTATATATTTCCAAAATCTGTCGTTATCTATCATTTAAAAGGGACTTTGAAAATTATGCAAAGTGTCGAATGGAATCACAGCTTTTTGTTGGCATCATTAACTGTACGACTAATTGTGGCAAGACCTGGTAATGATTTATTACACTGTTTGTAAATATTAATTCACAGAGAGTGTAACCATATCCTTTAAATTGCCAACCTTTTTTGTTTTTATTCTCTTATCATCCCAATCCAATCTTCCATGACTTGATAAGAAATCAACAATGTCCTAAAGACACTGAAATGTATGGTTTTCAGTTCCAAATAGCCATTATCATCATCATAATTAAGTTAAAAGTTTTGCGTTAGCCATAATTTAAAGCCCTCTTGGTATCAGCATAACTTATGAAGGACCCCTCTGTTTCTGCTTCCTTTAACAAAATGTTAACTACATCTAAAGTCGTATGTTCCCCAATGTTTTAACTGATGTTTTAGCTCATTGTCAAATTCCTTTTGATATTTTTAATGAAACCAATTTTGGAACACTGAAAATCTTTCCCAAATATCCTAATCTGAGCAGTAAAAGTAAACAATAAAGCAAAGGCTCACAGATTACTACAATTACCCTAAATGTTATCACAATTAAAACAAATTGAAACTGTTAAATATGAAGTATAACCAGCTTCCATATGGTATATGTTTGAGCTATCAAAGTTTACCTTACAATGTCTGCCAGTATATCAGCTCCTTACTATCTCAACTATATCAGTTCCCTTATTATGAGGTAGGCAACATCAAAGATACCCAAGATTGTGTAAGGTTGTAACCCCTCCCTTTATTAAAATGTGAAGGTTGTGTTACCACGTGGTAAGTCACGGCTAAGTCATACAATAAAGACTCTTTCTCGGTGACGTCATCAAGCTCCAGTAATGCTTCTGTCCATGCAATCTTATGTTCTCCCTCGAGATATTTTGCTATGCTGATGCCATCTGCTGTTGTCAATGGAGATGCACTTGTATTTAAAATTGTTCCGGACATTAGGGTTTTGAAGTCCATCTCGTACGTTGTATACAGTCTTCCTAAACCCTTGACAGCTATGGTGACGTCATCGTTGCTCGTCCAGACACCATGTCTATCTATTATCCGTGTCCAGGCCGAATGGAACTCTTAAAAGAACGCATAAACTTAGATAAATGCTGTTACATAAGGTTTTGTTTACCTTTGTTCAGATACCTTATGTTTGTAACACAAAATTTATCTTAAACAAGTCTCTAAAAAATCAAAGCCTTAATTTTAACATTCATGAAGTAAAAAAAGATGTTGTTTTTTCTTAAAAAAACAAATGTTAAAGGTTAGGATAATAGTTTACAAGTCGTTAAAGCCAGTCTTAGTCTAACTTTCCCAGACATAAAATTCGAAACACCGGGCTGATATCACATTTACGGATATAACATTATGAGCTTGAAATTTATATCACGAAGGGAAAACATATATAGCTATAATCACAAATAACAAATGAAACAATGGGAAATGAATGATGACGCAATATAAATGTGTACCATAATTTACCGTATTGGCATCATTTTTTTACTAAGGTGGAGGTCATGTTTATCTCAATACAGCGCACTAGACATCTTTTATTTATTTGATCACTGTTTAGTGACGAATGTCGCTGTAACTAAACAACACCGCACTGCTCACCGCATTTTGGTAATGAGGTATCGTCCAGGTTTCATCTAGATATCTTCAGCGATTCCCATGTTACAGAACAGACGAGATATAAGCTAGACACACCTAGAGGTAAAGGATACCTTGACATTATAGCATTGCATTGCATGCATACTTTCCGTTAATGATGCAGACATACAACAAAGACTCGTTTTAAACGCCAAAAAAGTATGAAATCATCAGCCAAAAAATGTTCGAAACGTAGTGACGTCATGTGTGTTTTTATCATTAATGACGTTACCATCAGTGTCATTACATAAGACTATTTATGAATATCACATAGATGTGTCCACTGCTAAACACGTTATGTAATGAATTAATAAAGCTTACCTCACCTCTTGTTTGGGCTTTAAACAAGAAACAACTGACAGATTTGTAGTTAAAGTATATGTATCAAACATAATTAAATGATGTCAGTTGTTACTAATGAAGGCGATTGGTGGCATATTGATGTGATCATTGGGTATTGCACAAGCTCCTTGGTAGAAAGACCTACATGTACCTTCTGCTGCCGTAGATACACATGCACCACAGTTGATATTCTGCTGAGCAGTCAACCAGTCGTTTGCTGTCCGTTTGACCAAATGGTACGCATTGATTGGATGACCAATCCATTCACTGGCGTCGTTGATGTTGGATCTCTCTTCCTTAATATTTTTAAGGAAGCTGAACATCAAAACATAATTCTATGTATAAGTACAATACATATATGACACAGATTAATAATGTAATGGAATACATTGTCTTTTACAAAGAGCGGTACATACATTGTATGAACAATGTATCAGTGGTGAACGAATTACCTTTTTCTTTCTTAACATATGCTTCAGGTTGGTAAGCATAGCTTGTAAAAGGATTCATGTAGCACAACCGATAAGTGTTTATATGTGACGTTTCGATGACTAGGTGGGCATGTACTCCGTCACCTTCATCAGAGGAATTACCAGTGAAGAGTATGCACACAAAGGTGTAAAATATGTACGAGGTGTCCACAAATCGATGTCGATTCGGCTACGCCGTAAGCGTATGTACAAATATTTGGTATATGTGTACCGAAATGACTCGATTCAGCTACGCTTACGTTTCACCTTTGTGTACATACGCCTAAATGGTCATTTGTCTGATGACTGTACCAGTAATCGATAAACGTCACACATAAACACTTTTTGGTTTTGCTACATGAATATTTTCACAAAGAATTACATTTTCAATACAGTACAAACAAGCGAATAAACTTTTGTTGATAAAAGAGTGTAATACAAACACACAAATCAATGGGGTCGTTAATTACATCATCTTCAACTTTCTGATCGCTGGGGACGCGTAACGTGTATCATACAAACAAACGAATATCTTTAAATGAAATTACATTACTGTGAGGGATAAACTAACGAGTGGTACCAGAGAGCGTAACACAAGTCATCAATGGTTACATTAATGACACACAAATATCCAGGGTGACACTGATATAACAGAGTGTGCAACACAAATAAAGTGTTCAATGGGAGTGGTTTTTTTTATTACAGTGACATATGTACAAACTTATCAGTGGTAAGATATATGACTAAGTCAGTGACATACGTACAGACTTATCAGTGGCAAAATATATGACTAAGTCAGTAACATACGTACAAACTTATCAGTGGCAAAATATATGACTAAGTCAGTGACATACGTACAGACATATCAGTGGCAAAATATATGACTAAGTCAGTGACATACGTACAAATAAATTATTCTGTAAATTACAGTCTTAGGTGATAATATACCAATAAGCTGGTTCGCGAAAATATATAACATAGTTGGACATATATAACCATCTGTCTCCGACATGGAACTTATCAAATAAGTTAATACCTTGCTTGCCAATCTAAATTGTACCATTAGCATTCCATCCCATGAATTTATGAAACCCGTTGATAATGACATTTACCATAATACTTCACTTGAGCACTGGTTCAACGCACGAGTGTTTTACACGTACTTACATCTTACAGCACCTACATTTACCTCCATTACTGGGAATGCATTACGGGATAAGTTGTGTGATACGCAGAGGGATGATAGAGGTTAGTAAGAATAATTGAGTAATATCCAATATTCAAAACTTTTGATATGATGTATGACTCATTGCTTACTCGCTTAACATTCTGTTAATCAGGTTTGAAGTTCTTTGTCAGTTACACAGTTTCAATATAACATCCTCTAACATATATATTACACTGATGAACAGGATAGTTTTAGCAAACGCTTGTAAATATGTTTATATTCAAATAGGGGGTCAAAGATACAGAACAAGTAAGAAAGTTCGACTTCCTTATTATGATGCCATACGTAACAGATGATTTAGTCTTGCGACGCAACTTTCACCAATATAACCCATACTATACATATTATACATATATATATATATTCTTGATAGGATTCAATACAACAACATGTGACATCCGTGAATCAATGAGATAACGCGATTCCAGACAGAGGCGTGATAGTATTTGTATTCTTTCATTTGTAACCTTAGATAATTTTGTGTCACAAAATTCTCCGGGATATCCCCACAACCCCACCAAACCCCGACCCCAACCCCGACGCCGCCAACCATCTTTGGAACATTTCGCTTAAATAACAACATATGGTGGTAGTTATGATAAAATCAATTACATTTATGTAGAAATACTGTCATACCTTTGTACGGATTCGTCCACATGGGAGTGGTTGCTCAGGGTGGTTGTGACGTAGCGGTCAAGTATCTCAAGTAATTGTCTCTCCTTTTGACAGACAATAGCCAATTTGTACCCGGATGTTGACACTTCCGCCCGAACAATTGCCCAAAGAGGCAGCAACAAGTTACACCATATAAGTCTCATGTCTAGTTTTTAGCGGTTATTTGTTTCCAAAATGGCGACGTGTATGTTATACATCTTACTTGTGTCACTCCGGGCAAGATTTGAGTTTGTGGTTACATGTTAAAATATTCCAATGTTAGAGCGATGCGGAATAAGTATAAACTTTCCTGGTTGAATGAAAAGCAACGAGAAATCGTTAATGTGTATACATGTGTGTCAGCGCTGACAGACGAGCTAAACATGTTTTATTTCTCCTGATTTTTCTGTGGGTTATAATACAGTATTTTACATTTGATTTTTCTGTGGGTTATAATACAGTATTTTACATTTGATTTTTCTGTGGGTTATAATACAGTATTTTACATTTGATTTTTCTGTGGGTTATAATACAGTATTTTACATTTGAAATATTCTATCACAACACAACATGAATACATTTGCGTTACAAAACGACATTTTTTATCCGGGAAGACAATAACACCAAAAGAAACGGGATATTATGATAACATAAGCTAAAGACACAGCATCTCTACAAGTGGCAGCAATCATGTTGTTACTCCAATTCTTGGAATGTATATTGATCACTTACTGGTTTATATTGGAGTTTAAAAGGTTTCAGGTCGACACAAGAAGCGAAACTAGTAACTGGAAATCAAGTCGTAATATTGCAAATAGCATATGTTCAATTCAGGTTGCCAGAGTTGCAAGTTGATGAAGAATAAAGGTAAATGTTCTAATCGCTCATTATCTGTAAGGTCATTATTTTATTTACTGGTATGATAATGTATATCGACGTTTCCATTACGATAATTGCTATGATGTACCTCAGTCTTTTAGACATGATTTATGTTTAAGATCAAAGTAACTATATTGTGAAATGCAATGTTGAGAAGCCAATTTATTTATTTATATAATGATCCGAATTTCAGGTTAAATGATTTTTCAGTATCTCCATACTGTTGCTAAGTCTTCGTGAGTAAGCACTTTGGCAAATTATTCTTTGTTTACAGTGGTTAAAACGGTTCAAAAACATAGAAAATGTTTTGTTTATCTTATAAAATATCGTTATTTTAACTGTAGTGCAATTTAGGAATATGAAAAACAGAAAACCCAATTGTTTGAATGCGTAACTAAACGCAGGGTTGATACAGTTATCATTGTTCTTGTATATCCGTTGCTATGTAACCATTAAGGCCTTCGGCTTTGATGAATCATTCATTAACATAAAACAGCACATGTACTTTGCGGGACTTTTTATGAAACAAACACGTAATGAAATCAAACAAGATCATCATCAACAGTGTTCTGAGTGTTAAAAGAAAACGCTGGGGCTAAACCAGATTGTTATACTATCACTCGAACGGACTGCGCTATCTGCTCAACGGAAATGTCTTGCCACAACTGGGCATAGTTACATCTAAAACAAAATTGAGACGAGGTTCCTGTTTATACCATCAACCACAGTGCAATGGAATGTTATTCTTAATATAAACAAAGTCATCTCCAAAACCTAAATAATAACCCATATAATTTGCAAACTGTGTAACGATCAATCAGAGAGTATACACGGAATAACTATTAAATCATAAACAACCTGCTTTTATAATCGCGGATTAAATAATGATCGAGGGTGACAAAGCGTGCTTCGGAGTGTGTAAATATTGTTTCATGACTAATCCGAATCTTAGATTATATCTATAACAAAAAAAATCACAAATGTGTCATGTATATCTTCTAACACGTTAACTGTTACTTAGGAAAAAGTGTTTTCTTCTTGTCTACATCAGGACCTGTATAAGCCCATTTTATGCAATTTAATCTAAAATTGTTCAAATTAGGCTGTTCCTTAGCGAATGCAAACGTTTGCCTCGTGATCCATTGGCTTATATTTGACAACTAGTTGCCCAATTTTACTGATGATCGGCAGTTGTCCATTTTTTCCTGTTAATCTTAAACAATTGCATGTGCCTCATTATTTGTTGATTTATTTTGTAAATATATGAGAAATGATAAGAACAGGATACATCGTAGGATACAACTCCTCAACCTTTATTTTCATTTGGCATTTGATTTTTAAATTTGTCAGACAAAAGATTCTATACAATTAATTCATAGTTTATAAAAGATAATGATTTCAACCAATCACAAACAACAATTTATGACCATCACTTGATTTGTCAACAAATAAAAAAAAACACTTGTCAACTTAACAAGCACTGCTTTAGATTAACTGAATTGTAGATTCTGCGAAACATCCCATACTGAGATTGGCAGGTTTTAATAGATCTATAGGTTGAATTCGAAACTGTTTTATCTGTTTTCATTTGCAAATATAAATGCGTGTACCCTATTTTCAAAAGGAAAACCAGTGCAACGGCCCGCTTGTTTATATCTTCAATAGGGGACAGGGAGGGGTTGGGGTTTGCGGGTGATGTATTGCACGAACATGTATTATTAGACAATAATACATGGATATTAACCAATGAAGGGTGATATTACAACGCACACGCTGTAGGCTTTCCGGCAGACTATTCCTTACAGATTTTTCTTTTAGTCCTATTACTGATACCAGGAGTGTCACAGTCTCGCATTGTATCCATGGTCTGGCGCTTCTTCTTGGGCTCTCGTTCAAGTATTGTGACAATTTCAAAACAGTTCACCATTTTCTTGCTACTATGTTTGTAACGGAAAAGAAAACAGTGTATGAAGTCTACCCAAGGAAAACAAACACGAGAACAGGGTAACAAGCAGAAGTAAGATAATATTTTTTTAACGTTTATTTTCATAATCAGTATTGTTGTCGTAAGCAGAAAAAACACACATGATACAAACGAAATTATAATGATGAAAAATACTTGAATTTTCTTAAAACTTCTCAATTGATACATGCACAGCGTGAAGCAGATACTTTTTATAGATGCCAATGCATAAAATGAATGTGTTTAGATAAGATTTATTTATAGGATATATAATTAATTACAACAAATGTGAACGAAATGTATTGTTAGATGTTAACATAGTTCTACCTCTGTCTATAAATCAAAATTATAACAATGTTTCATTTCATCACATAAATCAGAAATCTTCGTCCATGATGTTAGTTTTACACGGTCTCCGAAATTCCTGGCCATATTCAAGAATCCACTTTGTAGTAACTGGAAAGAAGTTAAATTTAGCATTAACTGAAAAAATGAAATGTTCAGTTAAGTAAATGGCTGAAATATACACGACTATAAAATATCCCTTTTAGAAATATAACAAAATCAATCTCTTAAAAATGATAAAATAAGGTAAATGAACTAAAATATGTATCGCAAATAACACACGTATAAGATTCAAATTAGCATAATCATATATATTTATGCATTCATAAATATAACTCAATTATTAAACTATTTGTATGTATGGCTTATAAACGTTGATTTTACCGCTACTTTTCTTTTAATGCCTTTTGTTGCAACCTGCAGCATGTACAATTCATCCGTTATGTTACTGTTATACGAATTATACAACGGTATAACATACTTTCTCATTTTGTTTTATTAAGTAGTGTTAATATAAATTAAAGTGATATTAATACTTAACTCTGAATGACATTTTGTAGTTAATCACATACTGTCTGACAATACTTTTAATACATCATTTAACGTACCTTTTTGTTAACTTTTTTTAATTCAACCTGAACTATATATATATATATATTCAGGTTGAATTAGCTATTATTTCAATAGTAAATTAGACATTAAAGAGATAAAAGCATACTCCATTTCGTCCCAAGTAGCACCGGGCAAGACGCATGCATTGTCCGTTCATCAATGACACCGCTTGGCAAGAGATTGTACCAGAACACGGCCGACCCCTAAAATAATTAGAAAAACGATATTCCGTCTTTGCGTATTGCAGAGTTATCTTCTCTTGAGAACAGGTATTGATTGTTACGTCATTGGTTTGTGTGAGAAAATTACGTCGTTTTCTCAAAAATTGATGACGTTACTCTCACAAACAAATGACGTAACAATCAATACCTGTTCTCAAGAGAAGATAACTCTGCAATACGCAAAGACGGACTATTGCGGACTACCTCCATTTTCTTGTTTCCAGTATAAACTAAAATTTAGTTTTATACTTTAACTATTGACTGTGTTTGTGTTGGTACTGGGGTTTCTTATAAAAGTAGTAGTACAGGTGTCTTATTTTCCAAGTCATAAGATATTTCATAAAAGAAGAACCCATTATTTCGTGTTCCTTCTTCGTATATGTTTGCAGTATCTATATCAGCTAATAAAATATGCATATAATAATGACATTATATCGAAACTTTCAAAACGTGAAATGCAGATAACAAAATGAATAATTGTTTAGTTAACTTAGAATAGTATACGTACTTTGATGGGGAATATCTTGAGATTGAGAATGGGGAAAACAGTTGCACCCCCTGCTTCTACTGTGTTAAGCTAATGAAAAAGTTAATAGTTAGATAAGCAATCGTTAAGCGCTGACTAGAAAATCAAAATGAAAAAGAGAAAATAACAACAACATCGTCAATACACATTCAAAATCCGTAATCAAACACAATAAAAAAGAAACAACAAATACATGGTACCATTGCGCCAATACTGAAGGTCAAATTCGAACTCAAATTTGTAACGTCTAAAAACTTTTTTTTTCTGTACTCTTATTTTTGGTTTTGTAATAATAATCCTGCATAGATCCAGTAACACTGAACACGACCTACTTTTCTCTTTTGTCATGACGTACATTACATCTACCCGTATTCGTAAGTAAGACAAAATCTTACCAAGGTTAGCAGAATTTTAAACTTTGGAAAACGAGTTATGAACATTGTTACTTAATCATAACATTACAATGAATACTGTGTCAATGGTAAGATAAATATTCATTTTTATTGCGAATTAGCAAAGTGCTAGGGTCATAATATGATCAGGTATTGGATACCTGTTTTAACTAACCAGTGCATTGCTATATTAACATTGCTTAACAGATAAAAATAAATTCAACTGTGGTGTTTTATTTTATATCAACCTGCCATTCCGTTTAGGTATTACTTACATAAAACATCCAGGTAGCTATTCTGTCTCCAAAAGTATTGTTCCAGCCTTCCTTTTTGTATGTTCGGGACTGTTAAGTAATAAAAAAATATATAATAATTTGAGGTTCTCATATACCGCTTTATCACAATCTATGTCCAATTAAAGAGGTTCACAAACTATTATCCATGTGAATATAATCCATAATGACATGTCATAAAGATATACAGTTATTACATGTATCAGGCTGAGCATAATAGATGACTGGACTGAAACAACTCTTATTAGAATGTAAACTGTCAAAAGCATTAATTCGTGGATGGTAATTGAATTCAACAATTCAGCTTTATAACGTATGCCGGGTACAATGTTTGATAGAGTATTGTCGGTACAACATATCCGTGTTAATGGTTCCTTTTCATGTCGGCAGGAAAAGTCCAATTGCTACAGTATAATCGGGATAAACCACTAAAAATCTGAACAAGCTGTACGGTTTTCCCCTAGCTACACAGCATTATTTAGGGATACCATAATAACATGCTTCCATGTTGTGATTAAATTTGAACTGCCACAATGCAAAAACAAAATGATATCTTGTAAGTAATAAGGAAATGTTCAATTAATTAATGACACATATGAAAAATATACAGGATCACATGCCTGCATATCATTTAATTCATAATTCTCAAGGGGGTAACTCTAACTCAAATAAAATAGATTATGTTGGTCATGACAAAATACAGACTACAACCACGCCTTCAATAATGGCATATTGCAGAATACCACGATGTCTTCTATGTGATCGAAACAGAATATATGATTAACATTACAATCAATTTTGCAAATATTGATAGTGTTCCGTACTTTTATTGTTTGAATTAAATCGAACAAACATATCAGGAGCGACGAACACGTTTTTTAGGGAATATGCACGATCAATGATGTTTAGACTAAAATCAAAATGTTATGTGTTGTCACGGAAATGTTAACATTTAAACATACTCACATTTACTGCATCCAGGTGTGGGATATAATGTCCCCCAAGTCCGTAGTTCACCATCTGAGTACATGTAAACGTCGGTTAATATTATATATCATGTAATGTTAAGCATGTGCAAATATAAATGATACATATCCCATTTCTCACAGTTCATATTTAGTAAAATAGAGACATTTTTATATAAGTTAGCGTCAACAGAAGAGCAAAATCAGAAATATATCGTGATCATTTACAAAGAAGAAAACAACAGAATCAAAAGAAATATTAAGATAAAAAACATTAATTGATTAACAAATAAAAGAAAATATAAGGAACTTCAATGAAAATACCAGAGTAAACTCATAAGTAGTACTCATAAAAAATCTTTTCTAGTATACTTTTCCTTTCCGCTGTGTTTCAGATAATCTATATCTAAAATGCTCATGAACATGTTGAAACACAGTTAAAAACGAAAGCATTATAAGAAATGTTCATCCATCCGGAACATCAGCTGATATTTCTTTATTATTTGGAACATTTAAAAGTGTTGTAATACTGGTTGACATTACAATATTGAAACCATTGATCTGGACATAACAAATGGTCTCGTTAGATGGTGTCAGGATATCATTGCTGATATGGTTACAATCAACATCGGGGAACGAAAGTCGATCAGCAAACTTGTCCGACATTTGCCGCAAGATAATCACTTGGAATACGAAAATTGAAGCACCATTTTTTCATCAGGGTTACAATGAATTACGGCTCAAAAGAATACGTATATAAACTGTTCAGAAATATCTGTAGGAAAACAGAATCAAAAAGTACGATCATGCTTTGTATGCTAGATCAATATCTCTCAAGATTCATAGTTTCTGTGACAGAATATATGTATGAAGGAATAAGAACCCTACACATTTGGCGAGTAACGGTCGTTTTGATCGCAATCTAAGAAAACAACTGTGGTTATTGCATTATTGGTTCAGGGGTTGGAATTTCAAAACCTGTGATGCTCTAGAGGCTTAAAAACAGAACTAAAGGCCCAGTCACGGGTTTTAACCCAAATTCCAGATACCCTCGAGAGGAATACTGTATTCAGACCCCCTTTTTAAGGAGTCTTTATTCTACAATATATAGTCTTCCTTTGACTAAAAACGTTGAAAATCATAGTTATTAGTTGACTGTAATTAAAACAAATTTGACGTACCAATTTTACATAATGTGACGTTTTGTGTCGGCAGTCAAAATCAGTAACAAAAATGTTTGCCAGTTTACATAAACATATTTGTCGGCAATATACGGGTTAACTAGTAGTTGCACACTATATCGTTCTAATCATAAGACAGAATACATACAGTCTTATCTTTGACAGAGTTTGCCTTGTGAACAAATTAGTATTCTACGGTACCTTTTCGTATTATTTTCACAGAATAGTCCCATTCTTGAAGATATTAGTATTTCTTCCACACTTGTTCGTTCGGTTGTTTGTTTATAATTCAGATCCTATCGATTCACAAACACTTACTATTTCTTTTTAACGATTATATCAATTATGTTTTTATTTGAATTTATAAGTCTACAAATCTTTACTTAATATCAGGTTTAATACTTGCTATTAACATCATATGTCAAAGTTAATACAAGCAAATTCGTGGAATGTATTTCCCCCGCTAGCAGGACATATTGTAGGTAAGCATTATCAGGTTTAGGTTTAAACATGTGAGTATCGTGCTGTTGAGACATAATGTATAGCTTGCAACTCGAAGGGGAAAAAAGCCTTATACAGAAATTAGACTTTTTATTGAACATGTAGGTATTACGGTGTAAATCAATCGTTTAATAATCAGAATTTACTTACCTCATTAATTATCAGTAAATATGCACTAATCACATCGGTTGGCAAACTTAGCATGAGTTGGATGTGCATACGGAATTTGGTTGAAATATCTGCACAATATCTACTGCAAATATCACACCAAATCCAAAGAGTGCCCGAGATGGGTGTAAAGACAGAGGAAGAGAAACAATTTCATCAAGTTTGAAGGAATTTGGCTAATATTTGCTAGAGTTATTAAGCGAAACTGCAGATAATGAAGTTTTTCGTTAATCAAGGGGCCATTACTCCGACAAATGGAGTCCGATTAAAGTGGTTGTCAGACTTGGCCGAGCCCTAAAATACGTTGAACCCTGTTACTAAGTTAGAAGACAATCAGATAATATTTGCGAGAGTTAATAAACAGAAACGGGAGATAATGACGTTTTTTGTTATTCAATGGGCCATAACTCCGCCAAATATAGTCCGCTGAAAGTGGTCATCTAAGTTGTTTGAGCACTTAAGGCATTTAACCCTGGTACCAAGTTTGAAGAAAATCTGTTAATAATTGTTGCAGTTATTGCACGGACTCGCAGCGTGACAAACAGACGGACAGACGGACAAACCCAAATGAAAACCCTCGTTTCGGTGAATGCGGGGGATGGTAATACGACATGCGTGTATTTTTCTCTCGATTACTTGTTATTCAGACGTGGTTAAATAATACATGCATAATACAATAAATAGAAAAAGAAATCATTTCTTACATTGAAGTATTGGGACGTGTTAACCTCCTTTCTATAGAATGTATCGAGTCCTGTTAAAAGTTCAACTCGTTTTTCTAGTTTTAGAGAAATATTCTTCCTAGGTTCCACCCAGGTACTGAAAAAGATTTCACAAAAACACTTTCAACATCAGTTTTGCCAAACAAACAACACAGCAATGTGCAGTACTAAGTTTGAAAAGGTAAATCAAACAAAACGAAAATACTCTCCAAACATATAATGCATGAGGATTTTACATGTATCACAACTATGCATAACAATTATGTTATAAAACAAATCTCTCATATCAATATACAACAGTATGTCTTACAACAATGGTGACAAGCAGGTACCGTATTATAAGTATCAAGTTTGTAAAAAGTGCATCACAGAAATGAATTGTTTCAAACAAAACATCCGAATCAAGTACGGATTCAGGTTATGTAAACAACATATCAGAACTGGAAACAGCATTACCTATGACGACATGTTTTGCGGTATTGAACGAATGGACATCATTCTGTAGTGAACCATGGAGATACATTTTTATATAAACATTCCAACCCTCTCTGACCACACTATTCTATCTAGGACTGTGTTTTAGAAAAGACAAATACCATCCATATTGATGTAATGACCCTGTAAGATCATAAGCATAATTTGTGAAAAGCACAACAAAGATCAAAATCAAAAATACTGTGGGCGAAATTGTTAGAATATTGGAGTTCCTTGTTTACAATATATTGCGGTCGGTCACAAGACTTTCCAGCAGACTGTAGGAATTCCTATGAAAACAAATTATGCCCATCTTCTGACCGATTTGTATTTGTTTTCGTATGAATCTAAATTTATTGATGACTTTTTATGAGGCTTAGCCAAGTTCTTCAATTTCACAATCAGACATATCGACAATATGCTGTATTAAAATGACAGGAAATTTAGTGACGGAATAGATCATGAATAAACAATCACGGGTTTGAAATGAAATACATAACAGACCGTAACACGTCAATCGCTTTTATCGATATTGCTTACAACATTACCATCAGGCTTATTATACGATATCCATGAGCTTGGTCCGAATATCATGACTCCCGTGATAGATGTCGGCTGATGACGAACAAAAATAACAAACAGGGTTTCCAAAGATGCACGTTGATGAAGATTTTGGACAAGTTATCTGGTCGCATAGGGAAATGCGTTTTATGTTTGTGTAATTTGAAGGTCAATGTTTTTGATTGTGATAAGCAGTGCCTATTGTGATTTTGTTGTCGCTATTCGAGATCTCGATTTGAGGACGTGTTATTACTACTTGGATCTGTACTATATTTCCATTGGTGGGTTCGTCCATTAAGCAGAATACGCTTACCCTTCCGGACCACATGGTCTTTTGTCCTTTTCTTTTTGTTTTATCAAGTCTGAGTTCGAATTATGGTTTTGTTGACACTTTGTTTTTTTCTTTTTTCTTTTTGTAAAGGAGAAACAGATACAAAATGTCAAAATATAATTATAACTGCACCAAACAGCTTTTCACCCCTTCAAGGACACATCTATGTTGCCATGGGTAAAAAATGTTAAACTCGAAATTGGTCTCATATACTGTTTAAAAAGAATGCGAAGTGCGTAAAATCTATTTAAAATATTGATTTTAAAAATCATAAGAGTATTGGTTAATACTTTAAATCATGAGCAAGGCGTGAATATTATAAATTGTTTCCTTTCTAAAAAGAGATGAAAGTCGCAAACAAAAATATTACTAATCAGAACCATAAAAATTATCATGTTTAGATAAAAAAAAAAGAAGGGGAGAACCATAAAAAGTAACCAAATTTGAAAATAAACATAAAAATCATAGAAAGCATCAAGTTTCTCATTCAAATTGTCACAATACTAAGCATTACAAGGCTTGTATAGGAAAACTTTTACAACCATATATAATCAGATTTGTAACGGAAATGCATCACGTACCTGGAAAGCAAACTGATCGATCTGATTACATATACAGACACATGTAGTATCAATGTTTAAAACAAAACATAAAGATCATATTTGTTATAATATCATAAAGTTGTATGCCTGTAAAATATCAGTATAATATTATACAGCATAAGGTTTGTAAAAAAATCATTTTAAATATATATGATGGCAAGTTTCTACAACAAAATAGTTTCAATAATATACAGTCAAACCTACATTAATAGAACCCCCTAGAGGAGTTCAAAAGGTTGTCTCTTAATGTAGGTAATGACTTATACAGGTTAACTTCTAACTGAAACAACAACAACATAAGCCAGTGTACCACACGATGGGAAACGTAATGAAGGTGACCGTATGAGCAGATTTAAATGTTTCGTATACATATATTTGTGAAACAAAACCATAGCAAAACAAACTTTAATTGAAGCGGACACCATTAAATAAGTCCTCAAACAGTCCATAATTGCTAATGATGTATTTGAAGGAGTTGGCAATGTCATAATACACTTACAAACTAAGCTGAAGCAAATTCAGACATATTGTGGAACGTTGGCGTCACCTTTTCGAAAACCTATGATTGGCGTTAGATCGGAACAGGAACCGTTTTACTCACATCCACACATGCATATGTCCGACAATTTCAACGTGAATTTCTATAAATATCTGGCAAAAATAAGAAGTCACTAAACTTGTTGGTCGGGGAATTGAATTAAAAAAACATACGACCTTAGTCTGTGTGCTACTTACCTTGCACCAGTTCTATAGTGAAGATTTTGGGTTTTTTTTCCATCCGCTCCAATAACAGTTGCTACCTTCATCTACAAATACATATTACAGTAAACGAATAAAATGACATTTAGATTAAGTCAAAAGAAATTCCCATAACATTAAACATGCCACGAAAGTAACTGTGGTTACTTACGTTCTGTTTGCAGGTATCCTGTAGTTGTAAAATCTCTTCGTCTGATATGACGTCGTGGAACCTAGATATCCGTGGTACGTAGCTCAGTACCTCCTCTTTACCTGTGTAGTAGGGGATTCGTGTCACCTTGTTGTAACAATGAAGGTTGGGTGCAACTTGATTTGTCTGAAAGCAAAGCGTTATAGTTTAGTTAGTTTTGGATTCGACTCGGAGTAGCCATACATTTCTTGTTTAGTTTAGCAAATGGATTATGTCTAACAGATCAATCTGTATTTTCAGCTGTGTTCAATGACATGTTGGATATAACATTTCAACAAGAGGTCTAACAGAATATTATATAACCCCAACTCAGTACCTCGAAACTTTGCCGACACAGCTTCTGGTAAGCATCCTTTATGTTGGAAAACCATGTCACTATGGGTTCATCCTCTCCAGATGTCTCGGCCTTTTGTCTGATTGTCTTAATCATATCTTCCATAGGCCTTTTACCTGTCATATAGATTATATGCAACCAATTGACGGTTTTGGTGGTACATGTATATAAACACATAGAGTTTCATCAAGGTTGATAGCTTAGATTGGATTATGCCCCTGTGGTTAATTTATAGATCACGTTCCTCTCAGTTTACATCTTTTAGATATAATCTAAAAGCAATAATTTGGTTTGTCGATACTGCCTCGGCTCGATTCCCCGATCGGGGTTGAAAGGTATGGGATCACCCATCCTCGTTATTCCAGGGGTTAAGCTCACTTTCGTTCGCTGTAGCCCTGAAATATGTCATATCAAAGTTGAAGGTACGTGGCAATCTACTTGATTGGTCTCAGGTGCAACATACCTGACCAATTGCTAGACTGATACCTGTCCTTTGAAGATCCAATCGCAAAGGAAGGACAGTCAATGTTACCGTTAAGCGACCGACGGATTCTTTTGATGTACATCAATGAAACACACTAGTCTTCCCGATGGTACACACTAAATCTTTCGATATTCCAGGTGTGCAGAGAGCGACAGTGAGCGTAACCCCTGCAGTATCGAGGATGGGGTCGCCTACCCGACCACTTGGTTTTTTGTCGGGTTACTCCGGTTTCCTCCCTCATCAAACCCTCCTGCGTGCTAATGAGTGATGAAAATGAATTATATAACTTGCTTCATAAATTTTGTAAAATCAAAATAAAGTTTTATAGATAACCAAAACAGCATTTGTTTCTGTACTATATGACCGGTTCGTTCTATTTGGACTTTTCAGTGATAAGAAAAATCAAATGCCAAAGAATGATAACCCATGTCTGACGTTTTCTTAAACATATATAGAAATACAGAAAACATAGCAGATTTAAAACATTTGGCTAATAGATAACATTTCCTTATGAACTATATTCTCAGGTTTGCTTGTTTTCGTAGAGGATTAGAATGTATGTAACTCCAAGAACAGGTTTAGCATCACTCGTCAGTACTGACTTGTCTTCTGTAAATCTGTCAGAATATCCAGTGCTTTCCATGAGAATCCTCCCTGTATCCATAGAGTAAAAAAATATCATGATTCATAAACATAATGGAAAGAAATGTCTAAAAGTAATATATAAATATACGTTGTATATATATATATTATGGCCCATAGAAGTAATGGGGGGAAATGTCAAAAAGTAAAAACAAATAACGGCTCATAGAAGTAAAGATCTAGCAATAATATCTCAATTTTGATATGCATTGAAGAGAAGTTCAAAAAGTTTCTTTTTTTCATTTACTTTAAATATTTACTAAAACAACATAATTTAATAACTTTTGCTATGAACAATACAATTCCTTGGTGTTTTGTGTGAAGTGCTATTCTAAGAAATGACATGAAAGCATGTTATATTTATAACATGTCAGACAATATCTAAAATTATATAATTACAAATTGCATACTGTATAGCGCTTTAAATTCGCGGGGTCATATTTTGCGGTTTCGTATTCAGTACATATTCGCGGGAATTAAATTCGATGCGCCACCCAAATCCCATGTGTCGTGCAAAATATTCTGAGTGTCATCATTTAAGGGTTAAACCTCGAAATTTAGTTAAACCGTTTGAAAACGCTGATTCCGTGCGTCCTCATCCGCCAGTGACTTCACTCGAAAGAAAATCAAATGTGTATGTACCTTTGTAGGAGTAAACTGTAATCAATTAATCACCTACTGTGTACACATAAATATGTTGTGGCAACTTAAACGTAAGTGTTGTTTTTACATTGACTGCCAGTTGTCCGGCGATAATCTTATTTGAGTTCATTAAATTATGCATAACAGCGTTTGGTTAAAAGTATTTTCGACATGTTGTGATAAGGGCCTTAAAAGTGGTTAACATTTTCGATAATTTCGCTGGTGTTTAGAATTCTCGGATATCAATCATAGCGCGAATATAGCGAAATTAAAAACCCCGCGAAATATAACCGCTATACAGTACATGCACATCATCCGAACGTGTATGGTAACCTTACCGTGTGGTGGGCAATAGCCAAATTATAAAAAACTGACTCCAGCTCGGTGACGTCAACAACCTCCAGTAAGGCTTCATACCATGTAACTTGAAACTCTTCTTCCAGATAATTTGCTATATTGAGGACATCTGAAGTGGTCAGTGGTGATGTACCTTTGTTTGAAATGGTTCCGGACATTAGAGTTTTGATATCCAAGTCATAAGTGTGATGAAGTCGTCCTAGACCATTTGCAGCAATACTGACGTCATCAATTCTTGTCCAAATGCCATCGTCGTCTATGATATTTTTCCATGACGACAGAAAATCTTAAATGGAATCAAACGTTTGCAATAAGTCATCAATATTGGTCGAAGTATTAACATCGCTTCAATATATCAAAGGAAAATAATAGTGAGGTCAACTCGAATCATAACAATTGCGAATGCTTTTTTTCTAAATAAATCTATCGATCGTGAACATTATAGAAAAAGTGGATTCATTTATAAATAACAACAAGAGCTTAGTGTCAACAAAACCAGTATTTGAAATAACAATCGATAAAACTGATGCAAAATATGAACAAAGGAAAGATTTACATGAAGACGTTTGAAAAAAATCAAATTATAAAACTGTAAGGTACATTATTATTACACGTGCATATAGAGCCGTTTGCAGTTCGTCGCTGATTTGACATTTATCAGAACACAACTGGACAGTACCTGTGTTAATTGGGTCTGTCACGCTTTGTGTTGAAAATCCTCACCTCCTCCACAGTCTACTAGTGATTCAAAACATGTACCTGTTACCCGGTAATTACATATACAGTAGCAGGGAACTGGAAATTATTAGGCTGCTTTGTTTATACTGTATCTGCGTGTACAGTACGTCCATGTAAATGACTGACATATCTACAAACTTGTCGATTGAAGTTGTTTCAAAACAGTTCTGGTATATCCATTTCTGTTAGATTAACAGATAACCATGTAAATTTGACTGAATATACGCCAACTACTGCACAACTCACCATTACATTGACTGATTGCAAATGTCTTACCCAGAGAAGCCTCGGAAGGAACACATGTACATGTACTGCAATCGATACACTGCTTGACCTCCCTCCAACCGTTTGCTGTTCTCTCGACTAAGAAGTAGGCATTAATAGGGTGACCAATCCATTCAGTGACGTCATCAATCCCTGATCTCTCCTTCTTAACTTTTTTAAGAAATCTAAAAAAATATATAAAAAAATGCATAATTTCCTTTATTTATTTAGTTATTTTTATCTAGGATTGAAAGAATATTTTTTCATATTGATACTGATAGGAGATTTTGAAATGATCAGTTGCAGGGCATCAACAAATATTTCATTTTGTTAATTGAGTAAAGGTCACATGTGGATTTTTGTCCTGATAGCAGTGTCGATAGGTTTTCGATGACTGAACTGTTTCCGTCATAATGTCATCACACCATTATATTATATCTTAAGTTATAAATTGATTAGATTTCAAGTTGGAATAAAAACACTCTCAATCAGACGAAAAAAACAATATTACAGTAACGTTTAGTCCTACTGTGTTGTTTGATACTACCATACCTTTCTACAGTTTCGTCAACATGTGAGTGGTTGAGCAGGGTATTTGTTACGTAGAGGTCCAGAGCCTCGATAAGGTGCCCTTCCTTGTGACAAACAATGGCCAGTTCATACCCAGATGTAGCAACCTGCGCCTCCACAACTGACCAAAGCAGCAATAAACTGCACCATATAAGACCCACGCCAGGAGTTGAGACTGTAGAAGTAGACGTTGTCATGATCGTAATCCATTATAAAGGTGACATCCAGGTATACAGGTACATGTGTGGTTTCTGTAACTTCGAGTGGAATATATACATATACCAATATACAGGTACATAAATAGATATATAATATTATGGAAGAAGCTTTGGGCTCTGCTTCTGCCATAAATAAAGAGTTGACCTCCGAATGAATAATTATATGACTGTTGCAATATTTCCTTGGTGCCTATTGGTAGAGGGTGAAATACATATTTGTAATCCAATATATATATATAAACATGGAGAAGATTTTTCAATGTAAATATAGAAAATACGATATGTAAATATGTATTTAAAGGAACAACAGGAAATAATGGTAAAATATATATGTATATAACCATGGCGAACATGTTGCTGGGTAAATGAAGTAAACATAATATAAAACAGTCTCAAAGCACAATAAAATCGGAACAAATGGTCTGTTTAAAGGGACAACAGGAAAATATGGTAAAATATATGCGTAATTATATATATGACCATGGCAAACATAATAAGTCACTCACTGGTTAAGTCTTTTTATTACGGTATATACATCAGTATACAGGTTATACATTTTACTAGTAGTTGATAACCGTGCTAAAATCGTTGATGTTTTCCATGTAACTTGAAGCATCCCATTAGTTTATTGACTGATGTGTCAATCCCTAAAATCTGACAACTTAGCGAGGCTCTAGATAATAAGACAAACTATGATTTGTAAATTGGACTGTCAGGGGAGGCTGATGTAAGGGTCGAACACTGCAAACATGACTTTTTTATAGAGCATCAGGTAGAGCAATGCTGAGAACTACAGTGGCGTTCTGTGAAGTCAGAATTCCAATATTGAATTGTCGGGGGCTTATTGCTTTTTGTCGGTCAACAGTATCACAAATCTATTTGAACCTGTCGTATTCTGTGGACATGCGGTCAACGGATTGGAAACTGGTCTTCTGAACTAATATAAAACATACTAAGTCGTCTTGTTTATTTAGTGCTTCATTACAAAATGTATAAATCTGGAAATTTGTTATTGTTAAGAAAGTTAAAGAAAGTTCAAACAAAACATTGGTGAAGCTACTAAGGCAGTTAAGTTTTAGATATATTTTTTTTTTCATGACTCGCACAACGAGATCAGCAAATAAGCAAGTGCTTTATATGATTGTAATCCCTACCCACGATTTGTTCCGGTCGAACACATTGCCTCTGAGTAATTCATATGTGTAAATATTGACATTTTTTTCTTAATGAAAAAAAAAGCAATATGTTTAGTTTGTCTGTATTATTTCCATGCAGATGAATTTTTTATTCGATTTCATTTATTTAAATATTAATATATATATGCATAAATATATAGAGATTTGTCGGTCTGTCACTTATTTTCGTGGCACTTTCCATAGTAATTTGATACCGCAACATTGTCAACAAAATAAAAACCAATTGAAAGTTTAAATCAAAGTACTGAAAGTACACTCCACACACATGCTTTCTTGATGTTGCAATATTTCCATAGTTATATATATAACATTTTAGAAAAACGAACACAAGACAGTCAGTTGAAATGCAGGAAAAAGACCGTTTAAATTTCCTGAAAATATTGTGAACGAATATTTACTCTTATCTTATGTCTGTGTTAGTCTGAAATGTGTTTTCCCTCCGAGGAACAACAACAAGTACTGCTTCAAGAGGCTTTGGGCTCTGCTTCTGCCATAAATAAAGAGTTGACTTCCGAATGAATAATTATATGACTGTTGCAATATTTCCTTAGTGCCTATTGTTAGAGGGTGAGCTAGGATTTTGCCATGGGTCATTTGTCAGTATACACCTCTTCGTATGATTATGTTAATGGTAACAGTTTGAAACTTTAATCAATTTCTATATCCCCCATCCGGGGACCGGGGTGGGGGCTCTCTTCAGCAAATACATCTCACAGAATTTTTTATCGGAAAGTGCCCTATCCATCATAACTGTTCTCATTCAGATATATTTCTTCAAATAGGTGGCAATTTTCAACTTTAACATATTTTGATTTCAATATTGTTTGTAACCTGTTCTGATTCCAGGACATACCAATACGGGGCTCGATACCTATAAAGGGGGCCCCATGAGCTGTTGCAAAATGCACCAAACAATGAAGAAAGTGACTAGGTGGGGAGGATATGTGAGGGAGATATGGCCTCAACTAGAGGGGAGGTCTCCACCAAGGAAATATTTGAGTTTTTGATGAGATATCATGTATTCCCAGTGTGTCTAAACAAAATGTATGTGATAAAATGGCTTTGATGGACACTTTTGAATCAATATAGGGCCACAACTGCACAGCATGTATACGATGTCTGGCAATCATGCAGTCCATTTAAAGATCACTTGTTAAATCTTTATTTCAGGTAATAATATCTTCAGTTTTAATCTAGTTGTTTTTGATTATTACAGCCTCTTTGGATTTATTTACATCTTCCATATCTTCCTGTGCTGCCTAACACCATTTAATGTTTTGTTGTTTTCATTGTTACAAAGTTTATTATTTTATATAATATTTAACAGTCATTTTTATAAGCCATGCTTTTTCCACGTTCAGCGGTTTTTCTTTTCTTTTCTTTAGACCTGTCCAGGGGTGGATCCAGATTTTTTCGGACAGGTGTTACCATTCCAGTTTATTGTGCTACGCATATAATCTGAACATTATAGTGTTGCACAAAATTAAGTTAGATACCTGTCTTGGCTAGCCACCATGTACTTTCCCAACTTGAATTTTTTTAAATTAAATTGCCAGAGTGGAATGAATCATGAATATATTACTATTTTTTTGTGTATTTATTTACATGTACATGTATTTCCATTTTCACCAGGAAAAAACCTACTTGTTTATCCATCATGCAAGAAAAAGATTCTCGGATTAAAAACTTGAAATTTAACACTTGTACCCTGTTACTACTACGTACCACTGACCTTACAGGTACAAACGTCTCTATCATGGTTCACTGACCAATTTAATTGATGCTGGGGAAGTGTCAACAGTTCAACACAGATTTTATAAACATGTTAGAGAAGAGGGACAGATATTGCGCGGGCAGTGTAATACACAAACAGTTACAGAATCATACACAGGAAATGAAAATATTAAAATCAGGTAAGCTTGCTACGCTCGCAATGAACCCCAAACATAATATATTGACTTAGACACAAGGTGATAGTGCGTCACAGACGTGGACTATACATTGGCTTTATACAAGCTTGGGAATGATACATAATATCATTCTGGAGATTCATTTGTATTGCAAACTGTCTATGTCGGAACAAATTAACTTGTTATTCACTGATTCAGAGTACGTACCTTGCCACGCAATCTTTACAAAAGCATTCAGTTCACACGTCAAGATACGCGATGATGCAGTCGGCATAATACTGTAATATGAGTGCCAATCGGCCATCGAAGGGATGAGTGCTCAGGGGTTTCAAGACCCCGACAATTCAATAAACTTTTGCCCAAAATATTTCCTCTGTTAAAAACATATTATTACCAGACCACATGCAACATTTGAAATGTATTTGGCAAGTGCAATGTCCTGCATTGCACCACAGGTGTCCGAAATTCCGTCAGAAATAAATAATAACACCACAGTGGAACCCGCTTATTATAATATTACATTTAGCGGAGAAAAATAATATAATAAACGATATATTACAAAATAATATATAAAGCTGTTTCGGTCGTGAGATGCCCTATAATCATCAGACATAGATTAATGTGGAAACCTGATAAGATATTAATACAAATTGATGAAGTAATAATTGAAATCATTCGTTAATTGTCATTAATATCAGCTTATTGAAAAAATTCGAGAAGATTTCATTTTGTCGTCGTTTTGATCAGTATGTAAATTCTACTGTCACTTTCATATAACTTCGAGCAAGAACTATAAGAACTATCGTTATACTTCATCCTAGCTAACGATATCGTAATGTAACAGTCAATAAGATGAAAGAGGTGATATAAATAGTCATGATTTACCTATTTTGCTCCAAGAAGTTGCGTTACATTTGCGCCCATAAGCGTCACAATATTTTGCCCCGCTATGTAAATTACGATCACGTGACAATCACATGCCTCGCAAGTCGTGCGGTTAAACCAAATTGCATAGAAACAATAACAACTAAAAACACAAATCATTTCTTTTTTTAACAACAATCAAATATATTTTTCAACGAAAATGGTGTGTATTGTAAATAAAGCAGTTGTCGTCAGTTGTTTACGACAATAACGTTTACTTTGGATCGATTTCCGGCACCATGGTGTTAGGACGGCATGTCCCGATTTTGACACTTTTCAACGTAGACACGGGGAAATCAACTTGTAATGCAATAGAGAATAGAGAAACCTTTGCTTAAATTATTAAAAACACGCGTCTTCCTTCTGGCGTAATATTTTCATTGAATCGGCATGATTTTCTCACTTGACGTGTCAAGGCAACCGTTAATATTAATGGAAGGCATCCTCGTTTTCTTATCGCCTTCCTGGTGTCAATCACGGACAACTTAACTGAGTTTTTACATTATAAAATCCATTCACGACAGAAAAAAAAATATTGTAGTAAGCGGGGTCCAACCTTTGACCATGTCATAATAAACGATTTGTTTAGCTTAGTTATACAGTGTAGGATAAAATCGGTACATGGGAAAAGAATTATCATAAGCGACATCAAAAAAATAAAAAGATAGCGGACACAGGTAAACACCGTGTTTGAAGGTCTGTGATTATCGACGACATTAATCGTGTTCCTCCTGTCGTAATGACATTGAATGAGGTATGGTGAACATTTTATCAACATGGAATATGCAAATACTTTCAAATATGAACTTCATGTCGTGATTATCCTATTTTGACTGCATGCTTTTGAAATTTGATGGTTTTGGATCACCAATCTACAAACCCGCTACCCTCGAGGTATGAACGAACGATAGGCGGTTGCCATCTGCTCGTTTTCTTCCAGGGTACATTT